GAAGGGAGAGAGATACAAGAGGCTTCCCGAAGGTCGTATAGAAGGAATACTTTACAATTCAAACAACTTGCAGCAATCCACCCTTCGCCACACCAAGGAGACCAAAGCCAAGTCAACGACAGAGGGGAAAAGAATGACAGCGCCAAAAACGAAAAAACCGTTGACGAAGAAAGGGATTGGCCGAAAGAACAGCTGAAATACAGCTCTGTTGGCATTATATCATTTTATGACGTCAGTGATGCCAAGCCAAAAACATCAACAATCAAGGAAACAAGAAGAAAACGGAGCGACAGCAGATACTGGATAGAGAGGAAGAAGAGTGCTAGCTAGATAGCAATAGTAGCACACGGCACCATGAGGAGATCTATTAGAAATAGGAAGAGCAGTAGAGGATCAGGTTGTTTGGCACTCGAATTGCCGTCATGGAGTCTGCGTCTTGACTTTGGCTGTCGAAGGCGCATGTTCCTTCATGACACACCCTCGACGCATCACACAGACCAACGGAATGAGGCGAATGCCCTTGTCCACTACCACCACGAGTCCTCGCAATGACAATCCATTGTTTCCAGTCCACAATCTGCGCGGAGGTTCCTCCTTGAATCTCTCACCAATGTTTGACAATGGTCCTTTTTGGAAATTCAATCAAATCATTATCGCTACCAACCTGCTGGGTTTTGTCATTAGCGTTGTTTCGGGAGGATCCCATTTGCATCTCGATCTCTTGGGGACCGGTGCCTTTGCCCTGGCGGCCCTGCCCACTGGATTGGCATCGCAGATTCCCCGTGTGCAGCTGTCGGCTGGATTTGTATCACTTTGGGGGACCAAATTGGCATCGTTTCTCTTTTGGCGTGCGCTTCAACTCAAGCATGATGCCAGGCTCGAATCAACCTTGTCAACGGTCAGTGGTACGGCGGTCTTTTGGTTCATTTCTGTCCTGTGGGGCATCATTTGTTCCTTACCACACTCTATGGGAGCTACGTCGTCCCTCAATACACCGATTCTAGCGAGTCCCTGTGGCATCGCCGGAGCAGCACTCTTTGTGATGGGAATACTGACGGAAACCACCGCGGATTATCAGAAATGGATGTTTAAAAAGAATCATCCAGAGCAGTTTTGCAATGTTGGTCTTTGGTCTATATCTCAACATCCAAACTTTTTGGGAAACATGATGCTCTGGAGTGGAATTTTCTTACTCAATGCACCCGCATTGATTGATCCCCCACCCGAGGCGACGACCAACATTTTTCAGCACCTGTGGAGATTCAAGCGCTTGGCCGTGGCAGCCTTGTCGCCACTCTTTCTCTATACCTTATTCACTGGCCAAGCCCAAGGAAGTATTACCAATACCAAGGAACTAGTCATGCAACGATATGGCAATGACCCAAACTTCCTGGCGTACACAAAGCGTGTTCCTCTGATCTTTCCCAATCTACTCAAGTTCTTCCAGAGTCAGTGATAGGAAGAAGGCTACTAGTGGTAGAAACAGTAGCCAGAGAGAAACTAGGAACTTGGAACGAACAAGACATATCGCGTTACAACCTTGTTAGACTGGGTTATTGCAGAGTACTACTAGTATATCGTTTCACAGTTATTGCCTGCTAGCTTGAAGCCTCCAAGAGATAGCTACTAGCTTGCAGCCTCCAGGGGTGCCCTTGTGAGCTGGCTCAGCAGTCAGAAATTACAATGGCTTCCTTGAATGAGAATGGGGCATTGGTGACAATGCAACTGGCTTGGTGGTTGGAGTCGCAGCCACGCTCACCATTGAAGCCTCTCGTGATGATCGATAGACGACCTAGACATGTATGTATGTATACTCGAGAGCTACTCGAGTGTCCGTCTATGTGGCAAGCAGCAAGAAGACACTCTAGGCTCTAGAGTGGAGCCGAGTCTATTAACGATCACCTACGGTTCGCTCTACTGGCTCTGCCACGGGTGCCACGCGAGCGTGAGAGTACATGTATTCAGCCCAACACTCGGGTTCTCTATGCAGCATGTTTGTATGTCTGGGCATGCAACTACATGTACTCAGCTACTAGCCAGTACCAGCTACATAGTACAAGCAACCCAACACTCGGGTTCTCTATGCGGCATGTGTGGGCATGCAATGCACAATGCTAGAATTTAATCATACGTTCACCAAAAGTACATGTAGATAGATGATGGTAGATGGATCTGGGTGCACTGAGTTTCCGAGTTTATTGCGACTGCTTTCTGGTGTTGGGAACTCAGGATAAAGTGCAAACCTCATACTGTAGATGATGACAATATGACGACGTGCGGAGATGGCCTTGCCCTAGCCTAGTAGACTAGTCTACTTAGCCATGCATACCAGAGGAGCCAGAGGGTTATCATAATATCTACCAACTTCTTTGCACCGACGGTGCCGGTAACGTACCAAAGTTGACATGAGCCATTCCCGTGAGCTCAGATGTAGATGGTACTTGGATCTGAAGGCCAAACTGATTGAACCAAGCAACCCCTGAACGGGCGACTGCTTTCTGGTGGTTAGATTTAGGATGAATTGCACACTGCGTCTGGAATACTCCTGCTGAACCTTATGACAATGTAATAGCGATGTCGTCAATGTGTCAATCTGCCCTTGACAGCTCCCTTGACTACCAAGACTACAAGACGGAGGACTCAGCAGCCACTTTGAAAGTTTACCAAAAGAGCTCCAAAAGTTTGCTATGCTCGGCACTCGGCAACCCAGACCCAAGAGCAGACCTGAGTCAAGTACACGTACCAGTACATTTGTACTGTAGTGTTACTCGAGTACTTGTAATAGTTGACATGTTGACATCGAGCCATGAGCTCAGATTCTAAAACCAATCCTCTCATCGCGTAGGCCAGATCTTGGCCCTGTACTCTCCGCGTACAGTGCAATAGTGGCATGTTGTCTTTTTGCACTTCCGTTAAGCCTTGAGTACACTTGCTTGTCAACCACCAACAAAATTCGACAATAATTTATTGGTGCAATCGGCAACCGCCAACTCCAGCCATCGTGTGTGCTGTCGACGAGTTAAGACTTACAAACGGGATTGTGGCTTCTATTTGTTGGAAAGAAAAGAGATAACAAATGAAAAACCATAAACTATCTGATAACATGTGAGGGTTTCCAGACAGCTCGATTTTGATATATCCATTGTACATCTTTCCGCACAAAAATCTGATACCAGTAGCTTATACTAGTTCTATCTTCAACCTGCCGCGATGCGAAGCAGCAGCTGCTTTGGAACAGCTTGGATTGCGGCATCATCTTCTTTCGACTTGCTGGCCTTCCTACCGGTACTTCGTGGGGTGGTACCTACCGGTACAGGTATGTACTGTACCAGTAGACCAGTACTAGTAGACCAGTAGGAACCGTGCTAATTAGATAACTGGAACATTCAGGTGGGGGCTCTTCAATCGACTTTCCAAAAACCGGGGAAACAACTGAGATTAGGCTCAATTCAATCGGACTAACATCATGGTGGAAAGGTGTAACCAAGGCCACTCAACGAGCTCTATTAAGCCCTGAATATAAGATATCAAATATTCCAACAGAGCGGGGTGCTGCCAGGATTATGTGATGACATCATTTGAGCTACTACATCGTACTCTAGGTCTAGTCTAATCTGAGCTTTCAAGATTCTAGAAGAAAACGGAGTCAAATAGTCTACTAGTAGTCTAACCGAATGAGAAAGAATTTTTAAAACGTAAGATCGATTTGTTGGAGGCATGGTACTGGTACCGTACCAGGTACCGTATGATTGAATCGAATCAAATCAGTGGATTTTTCCACATTTTGATGATTGTGACTTGCATGCTTCATCATCTCCAAACAGTTTCTTATAAATAGGGAATCAATAGGCTCTCAAGAAATCAGAGGTGCATGTCGGCAGAGCACTGTAAAAGAAATCTAGTCACTGAAACATGAAAAAGAGAAGGTGAAACCAGCTACTAGTATGCCAAGATGAGAGGTTCTCATTATGTCAGTGTTGACTTTTTGGACCGTCTTTTGAAATCCACGAGCTAACCATGTATGTATGAAAGAAACACCACGAGGGTACTTTTTTGAAGTACATGTATAGCGGGCGTGTGCTTCGCAACCAAGGAAGCTTTGTATTTATTTAACCAAAAATTTAATGGTCATCTTGAACTGTGATCTAGAGCTGATCTAGCTTTTTTTCGCGACTGAGTCATCGAAAATGAAAGACTACGGAAACTAGGAAATATGTCATAGTGACTTCCAAAACAGCTAACCCTGGACTATGATTAGGAAGCTTTACCTTCTTCTTTTCCTGTGGTTTGTCCATTCGTCTCTGATCTGCTCCGAATGCTGTCTGTCATATGTCTTGTAGGTGTACCCAAAACTAGGATGCTTCAGCTGTGCTTCGATACCGGGTGTGTTTTTCTGAGTCCTCCAAGTACCGTACATGTCATTGTACTCAGTACTGGAGGTACAGTAGCGAGAGGCCAAGATGCAGCTGATTGAGCAGATGCCAGATGCCCTTTCAAAATGTCTGCATGCTGAGATGCTGAGATCAGGCATTTATGAAAGTAGCATTCACCTGCTTCAGAAACTGAGATCAATTGTTAAATAGAGTGGTGTCAACATTGACTACTGGCGAGTGCTGATGAGCACCTTCAATACTCTTTTTAGACTTAGGAGAAAGCGCGAGATATCGATACGGAAGCATAAGTATGTGCTTGCTTCAACCTGAGTTGACCATCGCGCTTCCCCATTTCAATTCTGGCTGGGTTTAGCTCGAGCATGTCCCAGCGCCCCAGCACCCTACACCCTGCACGCAGTTCACAGCCCCAAGCTCTTCACAACACAGGACCACAAAAAAGTCGCAGAGCAAGTTCATAAAATCCACAAGGCAAGAGTAAAATACAAGAGAATTCACCTAGAATGCTTCCTTCCAAAACAACTTCTGACCGGGTTTATAACCCCGCCGCAATGGCACCCCATGCAATGGCACCCGCTGCAATGGCACCTGCTGCAATGGCACCGGCACCCTGGAACCCTCCTGCTACGAACACGCGCACTGTCCCTGAAGATCTCCTTCTCAACCTCCTCACCAAGCGATCTGCTAGTAGTGACGCTCGCACGAATGCCATTGAACCCGCCGCGAAGAAGATGAAGAGGCAGACTTCAGGTACGACACGTTGCAAGCATGATGATGCCACGTTGAGCTTGCCTTGGGCCTACACCAGTCTCACCGTCTCACCCTTGTTTTGACCCCTCTCTGCTCTACAGATGGAACCCCCCAGTCGATGGACCATTTCCTCAATCAACGTCTTGCTGCGGCCCGGTATGCCACGGCTGCTCAACCCGGGGCGTCTTCGCTTGGTGGCGTGGATGCATATCCTCTTGCGGATTCGTCCCGGCTTCAGCTCGAGTCTGCTTTACTGGCACGCCAGCAGAATGCTCTCCGAGGTACAGAAAATCTCGACGTTATTGCCCTTGGTGCGGCGCGTGGACTCGGCCTTCAAGGGATGGCACCGGCCCACTTGGCCCCCATGATGGGAGGGTCCTTTGCTTCTACCGCGCCTCCCATGTCCATGCTGTCCTTGGACACCATCCAAAGGACCCGAGAGGCTCTACTCCAGCAGCGGGCTCGACTTTTCGCCGCGGGCATGGCCCCCACCTCCAATGTCCTCGAGTCTTTGGAGCTCTCTTTGGTGTCTCCACCGGCTGCGTCGCTCCAGCTCTTTCCGAATACTGGCATGGCGTCGTTGTGTGCGCCCACCATGGCCCCTTCGTCGACGAACGCCACTGGACGACGCTCTCTTCCACGCAGCATGTCCACTCCCGAAGAGGACGACCGCAAGCTCGCGGATGCCCAAATCTTTCTCCGAAAGCACATTGAGATCTTCGAGGCCACGCAAGATGAAGTGGGAACCCACACGCGAGGACGGAACAAACCCATCCAGGTGGGCCAAGTGGGCATTCGATGCATCCACTGCGCACACATGAGAGTCAACAAGCGCCAACGTGGGGCGACCTACTATCCAGCCACGCTGCTAGGACTGTATCAAGCAGCCCAAAACATGAACACGGCCCATATGCAAACTGGAATCTGCGATCAGATGCCCCAGAGTGTCAAGGATGAGTTTGCCAAGATTGCAAGTGCCAAGAACAACAACACCGGCGCTGGAAGACCCTACTGGGCCAACTCGGCCAAGAAGCTGGGCCTTTACGATACGGAGGATGGCGTCCGATTCATGCCTTGATTTTTTATTTTAAAATTAAAATTGACAGATGTGGAAAAGGTATAGTTGCCTTGGATGTTGCTACGGTGCAGAGCGTTCATTCGGGCAAGCAGGGAGGCTGACTACTCGATTGTTTAAACTGAATAAGCCAATGACTGTATAAAGAGTTTTTGATATGATTTATCCATGCTAGCTATTACCGGTAGCTTTTGCCTCTGTTGTGTCCTGTGGCGCATGTCCAACAAGTTTGTCGGTGGGTGGGCTGATTGAACCGTTCTGTCTGCCTGTGATAAGCGACAGACTGTGCACGGTGAAGTACTCCTTCTGGTGCTTATTCTTTCAGGCGAATGGACTGAAAAGTTGTGGCACGGGTTGGGATGTGCCGAGCACATGGCTACTGTGCTTACAAGGAGTGACGAAGAAGGGCTCGAGCTAACGCAGGTAACGCAGCTCTGGCAAGCCTTAAGATGAATAGGAGGAAGACGAAAAAAGTAATCTATCGAATAAAACGCCTTTCATTGCTTGAATACTAGCCATCTACAGTAGCACTCATTCATCCTTGTCTTCTGACACTACACTGGTACCTCGGGGATGATCTCTGGAATGAGAATCACTTCTGCATCTTTTGGTGTGGATGAATCCTCGTTTTGTTGATCGTTCATCAATGACATGACACCCTGGGTGAATCCCTTGACATCCCCAACATTGAAACTGGACGTCATACTGGCCACGCCGTACATGAGTAACCCTGAGTTCTCCAGTTCATTGGACTCATTGTCGAACTTGACCATTCGATCCAAGTCTTGCACAATGGGATTATTTGGGTTGATCTCCAAGACTGCCTGATCAAAGTTTCCCATGCCCCTGGCATCCTGGCCTGACCAGACTGCCTTGGCCTTCATGTAACCTTGCATACTGGGACTCATACCGTTCTGGCTGGGGGTTTGTGACTGCAGGCTAGCTAGTGACTCACCTCAGTTTTTGAAAAGTACTGCAAGGTCCCGCAAATGAAGAAATATTGTAAATATGATGAATTATTGATTAAGCATGTTGACTGGTGATGAATTCATCACCAATTTGTTGAATCGTGATGAATGGTGATGAAAATGATGAATCCGGGATGACTGGTGACGAAAATGATGAATCCGGGATGACAGGTGATGAATCGTGATGAAATTTTGTACTTTTTTACTATAGGTAGTGATGAACGGTGATGAATGGTGATGAATTCATCACCAATGTGTTGAATCGTGATGAAAGGTGATGAAAATGATGATGAATCCGTGATGAAAGGTGATGAAAATGTTTAATTGGTGATAAATTCAATTTCGATTTTCATGTTTTGCGGGACCTTCCTGTACACGGTACCGTTCCATAGAACCAAAAAGCACAACAATGCGCCACTGCTGCAATAAGGTAGTACGACGTTCCGTGTAGCGGTACCATGGTACCGGTGCTCTCCGGTACACAAACAGCTTCACAAACACAAACAGAAACAGGTACTGGTACCACCGGTAGACGGAGAACTGGGAGCAGCCAGCAGCCAGGGTATCAAAAGAATCGACTCAAATTGCTTCCTTGGTGCCTGCAAATTTACAGTAACATCATCTTTCTGAAGCTGCAACACAGGCAGCCAAATGCCACAAATTGCTGCATATGATTAGAAAAAAGCTGCCTTCTTGCAAGCTACGGGTACATCAATTGTCATTTGTGGCCATTCACATGTCGCCGTGCTTCACATGCCTCCGAGTCGAAAAGGGCGCGATATTTGGTTGGAGTTCACCAATAAGCAGTGAAGTAGAAAGAGCCGCAACAACACCCGAACCAAGAGCAACATCAACAAAGGAACGAACATCAAGGGACAAGCAAGCTCAACGTGATGTGTTCCCGCTACAGTGTACCACCTCTGCAACCAATACTGTCCCATTCGATTTCTTTGTGGTGGTTCTTCCCAACAATCTCATCAAATCAAACCTATCTACAATCAAGAAAAGATGTCCAAGATAAAAAACAAGAGTAAGCAAGAAATATTTATGCGGAATTTTGAGTTGGTGGAAGCCTTTGTCAACGAGCGTGGAAATGCCAGAATCCCCTGGACCAAACATCTTCGCAACTGGCTAGAAAGTCAGTTTAAGCGTACCAGAGTACCTAGACATCCCAAGCCACATGTGGAGAAGCTTCGTCATTGGAAGAGTCTGTCGCCAAAACCTACAACTCGTGCATGGGAAGATGCTTATGCACTCCTTGAGGAATATGTGAAGAAACATGGACATCCGTGCGTGTCCAAGATCGACAAGGAGAATGCATGGCTGTATCGGTGGATATGTCGCAACAAAACTCTAGCAAGAACCGGAAGATTGAGTCCTGAGAGAACTCAGAAGCTAACTAACAGGCTTGGTGTAGATCTCCAGACGAACCATGACACAGAGAAAAGTTTCAGATACACAGACCACAATAATAAGCAGTTGATGACTCGGTATATTCAATTGTGTGAGTTCCATAATGCAGAAGGACATTGTCGTGTTCCCTATCGGTATCAGGCTGTTCCTGGATTAGGAAGATGGGTATTTGAGCAACGCCATGACTTCAAGATCGGTGAAATGCTATGAATTCCAGGTAGGAACTGAGCTGGTAGGTGCACAAGAGCTGGGATGGAGAGCTTCCACTGGCACTGGAAAGGCCAGCCCAAGGCTGGCAGCCAATGCTATTCAATCACTGTGGAAGCAATGATTGAACAGTCTAATTGCTCAATACCCTGGCACTGGCCATACAGGATCCGGTCTACTGCAGAGCTCTACTTGTGCTGTTGGGTCTGTTTCTCAGGTCAACTACTTCTTCATTACTTCTTTAAACTATAAACATAAACACAAACTCTGATTTTGCGACAAACTCCATCCAGCCATGCAGGATACAGATCCATGCATCTCTTTTTGGCTGGTATAGACCAAGCTATCTTTCTAGATAGGTCATGGCTGAGGAACTGCATCATCCTTCCTTGAAGAGGAACTCTATGTCCTCTACAGCTGTTCCTATCTTGTCTGATGGTGACACAGCTCATTGAACTGAAAGAGTATACAGATGCAGCAGCGATCTTTCCACCAGACTGAGCCAGCACAGCTGCGTCGCACCCATACTATGGCTCCTATGGCATAATCTCATCGAAATGCACAAAACCAGAAAGAGCAACTGGAGAAAATCAAGTTTGACTGTGTCGTCTCGTAGCTACCAGTATCAGTATCACGGATCATCTGGAGGTAGGCTTCAGGCTTCAGCATCAGACAAGCTACCTTGCAAGTCAACCAACACCGGCGTGATAATGAGAAAGAGGAGCTTTCTATTTCCGCTACCTGTCATCTCTCCAAGCGTCTCAAGCCAAAGGTTACTCCCATCCGACGTTTGAAGCAAGGCAACATGGACAAGATATCGACTTGGGCCACAGCTCGTTATGGATGGGTCATCCAACTCATGCTTCGACTTGGAATGGAGGATCAGTTGATGGATGAAGCCAAGGCGTTCATGGACTCGCAAGGCAAGGATGGCAATCGTCCAGAATAGTTATTGATGGATAAGTTGACCAAAATTGACCTTACCAAGGTCGGTTTTCTGGGATGAGACTCATCCCAAGTGTGTCATCGGGGGAGGGGCTGCGCAAGCTGGTTGCAAGTTCCATTTGCAGTTCTCACGTGATGCAAATGGAAAGCTGGATCCCAACAGTGAATACTCTGGCGAAGACCAAACCATCCTCAATGTCAAGTATGATGATGAGACTCGTGTTAGTCTGGGTTGTTCCGCCAACACGACCGAGAAGAGGGCCACAACATTCCTTTGTTTTATTACAGTGGCAAAACCTTGCTGACGTCCAAAAATTATGCAAACCGGAAGAAGATGGATATTGCCCGAGTCAGGTCTATAACTGGTGAAAGGTCTGGTTGGATCAGGCTGTCAGGAGACCTATCAATCAGTGTAATAACATGCTAATAAGATAAGTGAGAGCTACTGGAATGTAGTGGAGGGATATGGTCTGTACTGTGTCCGTAATTCAGCTGACACTCTCCCCTGATCCAAGCTGGGTATGAACTCAGGTTGGATTACAAAGAAAGGCTAGAAGAGAGGACATAGGAGTATATTGTAGAGTAGTCGGATAAGGTTGTAGGTATGGGAATACATCAAAAGGATAGGTTGTAGGGCAATTGCAGCTGGTGGTAAAAGAAAATGTGATGGTGGTGTGCCAAGGGATGTAGGAAGCAAAGCAACATGTAGATGGGAATCACCACCATGTAAGGTAGTAGTTGGGTCGTCATCAGATAAAGTAGAGAGGGTGGGTTTGATGAAACTAGGGAGGAGGGGATTGACAATACTGATGGTAGCTGGCATGGAAGGTCCAGGGATCCAATCAGGGGTAGCCTCGAGAGTAAAGGGAATCCAGGCAACAGAAGGGGATACGGGAGCTGGAGCAGAGACGATCGAAGGCAGAGCAGAGGCAACTGTAGTAGGATCAACTGTAAAAGCATCGGCAGGAGCTAGTAGATTGTTGATGGAATGGCGAGCATTGACCGTGGGTCGTGGCGTGAACCTGTCACTAAGGAGAATCTCGACACCAGCATGCATATTGTTACGTGCGTGGTACAGTGCAGAGGTGAGAGAAGCTTCAGAGAGGGGTGCGATGATGGAGTTGTTGGCGATGGAGATATCAACTCAAAATCAAGAGGAGCAACGTACTCTCCCCTAATCAAGGAACGGATGAAAGACATGAGTCGGCGGTCGGAGATCACGCGTACATGGCGATCAAAGAAGCATTGACAGTCGTCGTAGGAGAGGTAAATTGAAGTACGGGAAGGGGCGCCACGAATCTGAATGGAGATATCAAGGTCGGATATGGGAGTGTAGAGATCAATATTGTAGCAGATTGTGTTGAGTGCAGTGTCGAAGTAGGTCTCGTGGTTGCATTCAGCAAGGTAGGTGGCGTGGGTGGTGGCGGGCATGTTAGAAGTGGAGGTTTTGTGCTTTGAGTACCGGATGATGTCACAGATGAGTGACGGATTGAGTCACATAGAGTCGAAGCAGCAACAACAAGGGGAAATCGTCGACAATGGCGCTCCAAAGGTTGACCAAGAGGAACAAAAGAAACAAGGAGTCTTGTCCTCGTGAGGGAGATGGTGGAGGCGTGTCGGCGTAGTGTTGGTGTTAGAGCTCGCTGGAGGTAACAACAACAAATTGGGCGAAGAATCGCATCGGAAAGAAGTAGTCAAGGAGGAACGTCGTTGGGAGTAAAGCTGGAACCGGTCAAGTTGTACCCGGCTTGCCAATAGCAGGAGACTATAAGCACTTCGGTAGAGATACAGGCACTAGCGGAAGCGTAGTGTGGGCATCATAACCTGTCAGGAGACCTATCAATCAGTGTAATAACATGCTAATAAGATAAGTGAGAGCTACTGGAATGTACTGGAGGGATATGGTATGTACTGTGTCCGTAATTCAGCTGACACAGGCGTGGTCAGGTGGCAGGCAAGCCTTACAAGATTGACTGGTTGGCTCCCAAACGGATTCCGTCCCTTGGAAAGGGAGCAGTCAAGAAGTTTAATGAAGGTTCTCCTCTTATCACGACCTTTCGGAAATTGGCGGAGCTGACTAACAAGCCCATTACCGCTTTGGCCAAGAAGAAGAAGGTTGCTACCATGGCAAACATTTTGGCTTGGAGGAAGGCGGCACAAGAGGCTAAGGACGAATCAACAGCTTCGACTGATCACCGCAAAGGAGCCAACCCATATCAATCCTGTTGGGGTGACGATTGGGAGGAGAGGCTAGAAGGTTCCTCTGGGATGTCGAAGTATGTTTCTGTCACTACGATGGTGGAGCACATCTTTGAGGAAATGAAGGAGCATATGCAGGCGATCCACGGAGAAGACTGTGACGATTGGTGAGTCTATCACGATGCTTTGTCGCTCATGACTGCCACGGCGACAAGGGCATGGATGGAGGAGAAGGGCTATCTCAAGCTGACTTGTGCAATTTGATCAGATGAACTGAAACAAACAAAAGAAGTCTATGTGAAATTGAGTTAGTTGCACAAAGAGCCAATCAGTTAGAGAGCTGTCAAAGACTTAAACAACACAAAAGGCAAAAATTGCTTCGAGAGAGGATCGAGATCCTTGCTTTACGCTGACTTGTGCAATTTGATCAGATGAACTGAAATAACACAAAAGTATGTGAAATTGAGTTAGTTGCACAAAAACCTTTTGGCCCGATCTTTGCGACGGGATACAGCTTACAATTCAGCTTTACAGCTTTACAATTAGCAGGCTTATTCTAGAAAATAATCAATAACTGCTCACTTATTTGGAAATACAAAACTTTACATCTCTTAGATCGTTAGATTAATCAGTATACAATGGTATTGTCGCATGGTAGCATGCGAGGTTATGAGATGTTACTCATTCTTATTCTTATATGTCTATCCCTTATGGTTGTCAATGGAATGAGCTATCCCTTGATGCAGAGTCCTGAGNNNTTCTTCTTTGACTTCTTGGTGGGAGCGTCACCAGTTTTGTGGTCCCTCGTCCTCTGTGACACTCCAGTCTACTTCGTAAAGCCGAGGGCCAACAGGCTACGAGAAGGAGGCAGTGGTTTCTTGGGTGCCATGGCTGGTGGCGTTTGATCAAAGCCAGCAAGCAGTGAGGAAGTGAAATAGGCAAAGTCGGGAGCAAGTAGTTTGGTGGTGCAATGAAAATCGTGCTTGGCGCGGAAAAAATTGATGCATTCAATCGTGGTATGGTACCATATGGTTGATAGCGCTACTACCGTACTACCGTACCACCGTACCATACCGGTACCGGTACCGAAGCCAGCTACGGTACGAGCGACCGTACAATCCTCCAATATTCAGAACAACAATACTCTACTAACAGTAGCTAGCTAGCTAGAGCAGTAATAAGGCATTTGATGGCCATGGGGACGGGGCTGACATAACATTGGTTGTCAGCTTTAGCTGACTGTCAAAGACTGAAAAATAACGAAATTTTATTTTACAGGCTACACCTCGTCAGACGATCCGCTGAACGGTGCCGTGACGAACCCATATTCCTCAGGCGCACGAGGGCGCCCACTTAGGATGGGCCTAGTGTAAGCCCCCCACCGGAGAAATTGAACAAAACTCCGGAGGGTGCTGTACGACTAACTATCTACTCTAGGCTAAATCGCCCGCTATTGCTATGGTGATCCCACATCCGCGCATAGTTACCCTGATTGGGAAGGCTGCTTACTTGCATGCTCATCCCTCATTGCTTTGTCAACAACTGGAAGCCAATTGGCCAGCCATGCTTTGATATCTCCCGGCCCTTTGGCCATCTGTTCCTCCAGGGGTCGTTTGAAGATGGTATCAAGAAGATGCTCTGGGAGCAGGTCCGCTGTTTCATACAGGAGCTCAACCTCGCGTTGGAGCTGTTCGTGTTTCTTGCGCCATTTCTGTTCCTGATCCCGGCCGTGCCTGGCGGCATTGCGGTCCTCCCAGAGATTCCACCACTGCTGGATCAGAACAGAAGCCAGGTTGGTGACCCAGAGCTGCCCAGTTTTGGTTGTCTCCTTGGAGCCGACCCGGTGCAAATAGGCATCTTGGTGCTTGGCCCAATGCTTGGACAACCGTCCTCTCAGGAAGTTATCCCAACCAATGAGATTTTGAGTGTCGACAAGGTCCCTATACCGGTCTGGGTAATGCCACGGGTGGAGGAATCGATCTTCAAAGTGATATTGAAGCCCATCCAGAACAATTTCCAAGAGGAAGGGGTCTGTGGAATCCTTGCGCAACTTTGTACTGATCGCTCGTTGCATGGTCCCTCGCCACAAATCCACGTCAACATGCTGGCATCTGTACACATGGGTCTCAGTCTCATGATCACCGCCGCAACGGGGACAGTGGTCAAAAACTGGAAATGTATGTAACAAAAGATCGAAGCGGGATCCTTGTATGAGTTATCGATCGATCCAACATTTTCAGATGACATGTTGAGTTGCTGCCAACCAAAAAGGAGAAGATACAGTATCATTATTGTGACTTAGGCTAGCTATTTGATCATGTTGATTAAAGAAAGTTCAAGGCAGTGCAGCAGGCTCTTTACCCTACAGTAGATGGACATGGAAGCAACAAAAGGGCAAAAGTTGCTTCGAGAGAGGATTGAGCTCCCGGCCTTACGCTGACTTTGGCAATTTGATCATGTTGATTAAAGAAAGTTCAAGGCAGTGCAGCATCTCCCCACTGGCTCTTCGCCCTACAGTAGACGGACACGGAAGCAACAAAAGGGTAAAATTGCAAGAAAAGTAATTGCTGCTTTGAGAGAGGTACTAGAATATTACAGTTTATAGTTAGTTTGGCTTGGACTTGGGAGTGTAGCGAGTAAAGTAGGCCAGAATGAAATGCCCCTTTGGCTTTACACCGTTGACTTTTCCAATGCCAATGACTTCACTGGGGCCCACTTGGGCTCGAAGAATCTCTAATCCAGAAGATTTCAAAGCTTCAGTATTGCCTTTGCGACTTGGCCCTCCAACTTTTTGCAAGTTCTGGAGTCGAGTTTTGATGCCTCCATAGTAGGCAATGCGGGTGATCACAGGAACTCCATTGGTATTGTTGGGAAAGCTCCCGAAACTCTGTGGGTCCAACGTCTTTTCCTTGCGGACCCAAAAGTGCCATCCATGTGTATTGAAGATCTTTGGCAGTGCAATGTCGAACTCATCATTGTTTTCCTCCTTATTGGCGGTCACTTGGCCACGGCGTTCTTGTCGATTGCCTGAGTTTGTAAGAGTTGAATCTCGGGTGGTTTTCAAAAGTTCAAGAAATGCAAGACTTGCTGGGCTGTCATCGACTCGAAAGGTCATGTAGAGATACTCCCACCGTTTGTACAAATCATTGTCGGTAGCTTCTTCTCGAAAAAGGTCATTGATAGTTGGAATGAGACATCGCAAGCACTCCGCTGGAGTTTGCCCTTCTGGTACTTCCAAAAAGGACAGAACATTTCTAGCCTGCAGAATCACGTATGAATCCACTGGGTGCAATGACTCGCTATCTTTGGCATTGGGATTGTAGTAGTGGACGGCATGATTGTTTCGAGCTATTGGAGCATCGGCATCAGAGCTGGGTAAATTTCTGGCTTCAATAGCATTCACATTCTCGGGTGTCAAAATGTGGCGATGCATACAGGAAGCAGACTTCTTTGGTTGATGCATCCCCTTGGAGACGACTTCGAAAGCACCGGCAGCAGCAATCAAATCGCCATTGACAGAATCTTCTGAAGGCTCTGGACCAGAGCCCTGGAGTCGGCGCACAAGAAGCTGAATGGCATCGGCAATCATATTGCATTCAATGGCTTGTTCCACAGTCAGTTCATCGCGAGAATCCCCAGTAAGCCCAAAAGGAAGATGGAGACAGACCACAGCAGTTGAACACTTATGAACAACACTGCAAGCAGATGGCCTTGTTTGACTCGGACTTTGAGGACCAGTACAAACTCAAAGAGCTTGACAATGATCTCCCATAGTATCTGCAGATCGGGAAATGCCAAGCTGTTGCGGTCAAGAAGCAAGAATTCGTTGAATTGAATGATGTGGGCGAGTGCCATCCGGATCTGCTTCTGTGCATATGCATGGTCCGCCTTGGTGAAATGCTTGGTACAGAACCCCTTGCCAATAGCAGTGTAAGGGTCTTCCCAAGCTGTCTTCACAATGGCTTCATAAACACATGGTGTGGTATAGCACATGACATTGTCAAAAAAGGGAGCCCAGCTAGCCATGGCCCAGAAGCGAGAGAATTTCTTCTTTCCAAGAGGAAGTCGGCTGGAAATAGCAGCTTCAATATCAGTAGCTAGCTTCTGGAACCATTGACGGTGACCAGTCTCAATGACTTGGCTGTATGCGGCAAATTCGGCCATGATGGTGCTGCCACCAAATGCATCCTGGGCTGCAATTTCACAGAGCTGGAGAGCAATCTGTCGGCAAATTCCCAGATCCTTGGCACCGTCATCTCGGATGGCTCGACTTGTACCTGTGGAGTGTGCTCACTCTCAATGACTTTTGTCAAGACAGCCATGACATGCTGAAGGATCAAGGAATCCAATTCTTGGGGAATGTTGTCAAATCGAAATAGGATCAAGAGATCAGGGTTGACTCCATCCTTCTCCTCGTACTGGGTCTCACGTTGACTAATATTCATAGACTCTCCCACGCCCTTATCATCTTTCCAGTAGACATAGCCGATACTCTGTGAGATGGGTGTGAATTTTTAGCTCTCCTTGATGACTTGGGCAAAATGGTCATGAGGATAGGTGATGAGATTATACTTTCGGACTTCAGCATAGATGAGTTTGGCATGTGGTAGTAGTATCTCAATGATCTCTGGAGACGCATTCAGTGGCATGCAAAGTAGATGCTTTGGAGGTCGATCAATGAGTACGACCGGGGATGGAGCTCGGGTGACTTGTCGGGTGTGTGGAGAAGATAAAGGGACAGAATCATCATGGACAGAATCATCATGGACAGAGACAGAGACAGTGGTTGGACCCTGTCGCTTAGTGGGAGGAGGCAAATACTCAGAGGAATCAGAGTCAGAGGAATCAGAGTCTGAGTCTGAAGAGCACTCTGAGTCAAACCCATCATGGCTCTTTGATCGCTTCGGTCGCTTGTTCTGGGGCTTGGCAGTCGGGTTGATCGTTGATCGCTTCGGTCGCTTGTTCTGGGGCTTGGCTGTTGGGTTGAGGGGCGTCACTGTAGTTGGCTTTTTCTTTCCTTGGATGATGCCATTGCTTGGAAGAGGGGACGCCATGGTATCTGTCTCTAGTGCGCGTTTGTCTCTACTGCAAGTTTGTCTCTGTAGCGCTTTTCCCCTCCCACATTCACGTATTGTGGAGTTTCACATGCCGCCGAGCATGCAAGTAGAGCGCGATATTTAAATCCAAAAGAGGGCGAAGTCTGTAGAGCACGATGTTTGGGTTGGAGTTACACAAGACCACCAAGCTTTCAGAGAGCGCCTTGTGCTTTCTGAGGTTTGCTTCTTTGCTTTCGATCGGCTTCAGAGCGCCACTGCATACTAGCTACTACCATCCTCTTGCCTCACTCGCCACTCACCAACATCAACAAAACGGGAAGGAACATCAGCGACAAGCAAGTTAATGCCTTGTCAACGTGGTGATTCTACTCGTATCTTGTTAATGGCTCATTGACCGTTCAGTGGCTACTAGTATCCCGCCCATTCCAGTTTCATTGTGGCGTTTCGTCCCATCGAATCCAGCCTGCTGTTTACTACCACTACCACTACTACTGATTAATGCTGCTACTGCTACTGCTACCATGTCCAAATTAAGGTGCAAGACTAAGGAAGAGATATTCGAAAGAAATTTTGCGTTGGTGGAAGCATATGGTAAGGAGCATGGAAACGCCAGAATCCCCTGGACCAGCCCTCTCCGCAGCTGGTTAGAATCTCAGTTCAAGCGAACCAGAATTCCAAAACATATCAAACCCCAGCTGGAGAAGCTTTGACATTGGAAGAGTCTGTCACCGCAACCTAAAAGTCGTGCCTGGGAACATGCTTTTGTACTCCTGGAGGAATAAATAAAGAAACATGGACATCCTGGTGTGTCCAAGATCGATGATGCATGGCTCTATCGGTGGCTTGATCGCAACAAAACTCAAGCTAAGACCGGAAGATTGAGTCCTCAGAGAACCCAAAAGCTGGAAAGCCTTGGTGTGCAGTTTCACAAATACAGCCAAGACATAGAGGCTAGTTTCAGATACACAGACCGCAACAACAAGCAGTGGATGCCTCGCTAGTATGGTCAATTGTGCGAGTTTCACAAAGCATAAGGCCATTGCCGCGTTCCCTATAGGTATCAGGCTGTTCCTGGATTAGGAAGATGGGTATTTGAGCAACGCCATGACTTCAAGATCCGTGAAATGCACGAAACCAGAAAAGACCAACTGGAGAAAATTGAGTTTGACTGGGTTGTCTCGTAGCTGCTATCAGTACCAGTACCCCCAGTATAGTTTAGGTAGTTAACGTTAATAGGCATTGATCGACAGTAGCAAGATGTTGTCTACAAAACAAGAACCCTTCGTTCTGTGGTACTTTGAGAGAGACCAAGGAGGGAGTAAAAGGCAATGGACATGGAAGCAACAAAAAGGTGCTTCGAGAGAGGATCGAACTCCCGGCCTTACGCTGACTTAGGCTTGATCAGATGATTTGATCTGTTGGATTATGAGACGTACGCTCTGCCTACTGAGCTATCGAAGCTGCTGATAGATGGGCAAATACGTTGATTTAAAATCTCAAACAAAAAATTCTTTTCCACTCCAAGTCTCCCAAGTGTTTTGTGAAGAAGTTAGTTGTTCTGATTCGATTCTATGCAGCCAACAAGGTCAAAGATGCTTGCATGCCACCACAAACGACACAGAACCTCACCAGAAACCACCAGAGACAAGCAAGAATTGTTGCAGTTGTGAAATGATGGCATCCATTCTCATTGGTACATTGAAGCAGTATTGACCACAATCTTACTCCTGGCCTGGCAACGGTCTTCATCCATGAGCGAGAAGCTTACTTGAGATGGAGTCCATATGGCTAGCTAGCAAGTAGGGTTCACTTAATGCAGAGAGGAAGCGCACTGTTGAAGAAATTCGATTTGAATGGTCGGAATCATGGATGAGCATTCAACGATAACACACAAGAAAAGCAAGAGCAGGGGAGACACAACCGCAACCAAAGCTGGCTTGAGGAGAGAACCCTCGTCAAATTGGCAGAGCAGAAAACGCTCAAACACTGCTGTTTTGGACCCCGATCGTCCCTTGCACAAAAGACTCGGTTACAAACCTCGTTGGAACCAAGGGCCACAAAAAGGCGGAGCAAGAACCACATGAAAACAACGGACGAGGAAATAAATGACACCGGGATGAACGACTTTAGACGCTTGTGTGACCAGCACAACAGAACAGCTACCCCTAGCTTAGGGTGCGAACGACATGCAAAATGAACAACAATAAGGTATTTTTGTGTTTGTATCTTTTAAAAGCGATGTACCGTATGCTTAACTTGACATTACTAGCACATACACTTGCATAATACTTGGTCCACCTACAAGCTTGCCGTCAGCATGCCAACAACCAAGATCGCGGTTGATACAATGGGCCATGGTTCTTGACGTAACCCGATAGCTGCTGAAGAAGGAGCATCAGTGGCCTCTGACGATGATCCAGCCGCTTCTGTGGGAGGTGCGGTGGTACCAGCGTCATCGGCAGTCTCCAATGTTTCGTTGCTGCTGGGTGCATTGGTTTCGGCTGTTGTAGTTACAGTTTCCTTTTCTGCCTCCTCCTCTACAGCACTCTTGGCACAGGTTTCCATTTCTTCATTTTTGCACTCGGGATCGACCGACGCCGTATTGACCAAGGGATATCCTTCGGCAGTCCATTGCTGGACGCCCAAGCCATTGTAGAGTGGGCCTTGGAATCCCGCCAAGGCCAATTTCTCCAGGGCGCCGGCGGCTCGACGACCCGATTGGCAGTAGACGACAATGGGGCATTCTTTGCAGCCATTCAAGTCCGCAGTGGTTGCAATTTCCGTCGAAGTATTGGCGAATTGGAGATTTTCCAAAAAGGTGGCATTTTCAACGTGTCCCGCCTCCCATTCCGAAGACTCTCGAGTGTCGACAATCACCTCAAAGTAGCCCGCCATGGCCATCTCGTAGAATTCTGTGGCATTGAGCTGAATCACCTCATCGCCAGAAGCAGATGGTACAAACACAAGGAACCAGAGGAGGGAAGCAACTGTCGAACTGATACTCATACTCATCGCATATGTTTCAATCCATAGATAGACCAAGTACTAGAAGTAATGGACCTGCCACCATCCATTGATCATTCCGTTGAGCGAGTGGTTCATCATTGTCGAAGCTTCCCAAGCATTCTTGTAGTGGCTTCTAATGCTTTCATTCCTGCAGTGGATTTAACTTCGCGAGATCGAAGGGAAGGAAAAGGCAACGTGCCACAAAACACATCGACACAGCAAGCAATGGTATCGATGCCGATGATAGTGCCGCCGTGTTTGATGACAACCTCAAGACAATGGCTCCATTGGATGGTGGTTGGTTGGTTCATGGTGTTGATGATCAACGAAAGCATGGCGTTTGGCTTCAAGTCCGTTGCTGATCGGGGCATCAACCGGAACACCAGCAAAAACCAATGGCGAGGAATTGGTACAACGGCTCGAATGGTCAGTGGAGGGTTTTCCTTTGACGATGGTGAACAAGTGCTAGTATCGGTACAAAAGCCATTGGGGATACTGCTGGAGCAAGACGATGTCGACGATGAGAACGTGCTTGGGCCCGTGATAGTGGCAGAAGTGGATCCGTCGGGGTCAGCAGGACGCGCTGGGGTCCAAGCGGGCGACATCTTGGTGGCAATCCAAAACGCCAGCGTCGAGCAACAGTCATTGGAATATGCAATGGACTTCTTGCAGCAAACGCCGAGGGTCGTCAACTTGAGATTCATTCGGCCCTCTAGCTAGCTTTTCTGCAACCCACAGAAGAAATGACGGCCGCGTCGCTAATTCATTTTGCTTTTATTACATTATTGCCTAATTTAACTTTTCTGTGTTTCTTGCTGGGGGCTCGCCCAGCACATCATGTACATTTTTGAATGAGCTATAACGTCGTCAGCCAATAGGTCTGGTTAGCTCAAGCAAAAGCTGCCACCGCAGCAACGAGAGCAACCAATCCCGCAGCGAAACTCGCTCGATCAGCAGAGGACGCGTTCAGTCCGCTGCTGCTTCCGCCGCTTCCAATCCGGTTGGGGTTTGATCCAGATGTGGATGTAGTGGCGCCGCTGGTGCTTGAGCTGCTGGTGATGCTGCTGGTGCTGCTGCCGCTGGAGCTGCTGCCCTTGCTTCCGCCCTTTGCAGCCTTTGCGACCTTCCTGAGCTCGGCTCTTGAGGCGGCAGACGCTGTTGTTGGAGGCTTCAAGGTCCAGCAGAAATTGGTCGATAAGAACGCCCATCGGTAATCAGTGAAGGCCTGGGCAGCAGGGATTGTGATTTGTTCGTTGTCACTGTTTTCCGGTACATCGATTGTGGAGAAGCAAGAGAATAGGACATCAGCAGTTCGGATGGTGTACCCATTTTCCTGAGCGCATTCAAAGAAGATATCACTGGACAAGAAGCTCTGATCGCCGGGGTCTCCACACAAGACACCCAGGTCGATGTAGCGGGTGGCGGTTTCTTCAGAACTGGAAGTACAGCCGATTTCCGTGGCAAGGTACTCCACACGGGTTTGCGGGACAACATCCGTAGCAGTGCATTCCTGCAATAAGAGGACGAAGGGGCGCAAGGTCAGTTTCGTGGCGGTGGATTTTCAGAGCCAGAAACGGAAACTTACATATTCGGCCACATTCACACGCTCACCACGCACAGTAAACTCAGTTTCAGCGCACTCGATCACACTGTCGCTCACAGTCTCACAGAGAAAGCCACTCTCGGCATTGATGAGCTGAATTGTTCCGTCCACACAAGTTAGGCGAACCCCAGAGTTTTGGACTTCACAGTTGTCCTCATCATAGTCAAATTCGATTCCAGCTTGGAATTGCACAGAGTACTGCCCAGCCTCGGGGACGAGTTCGTCGTCATCGAACTCAATAACAGGTGCAGGCACGGAGAAACCAGCAGGGTCGGTCTGGATGCACTGCTGGAAATTGTGGTGTTCAGCCTGGACCTCCATGTCCTCGTACTCCACCAAACAGGCCCTGTTCGTACACCAACGTCCTGTCACACACGTGTAGTTGCCATTCACAGGCAAAGGAATGACACCAAAATCACATTCAGAGTATGCATGTGAGTTCTGCAATTCCAAAGCACCAGTGTCCTCGTTGGGGCACACCACATTGAGCTCTGCTAGCAGCAAGTTTTGACCCGCACCAGCATCGGCCGTGCAGCTTCCAGTCTCCCCACCATCATCACTGCCGAACATCAGGTAGGACGCATCAACGGAATCCACGCTATCTCCGGTGCATCGGAAGAAAATCTCTGCCCAGTCGTCATTGATCACCCAAATGCTCCCAATCTGGAAGGATTCTCGGTCAATGTAGAGATCATCGCAGGCAGTGCCGGAGCACCTGAACAAGCACACAGCGAATTCGCCCCCGCCGGTGAAATCCTCAGGAGGAGCGCAGATGATATCGTCAGATGTCTTGTCTGTATCAATCTCGATGGATCCTTTGTCACAAAAGACAAACACCGAATCCCCTTCTGGGCTGTCGCAACCGTCGTCAACGATTCGCTTGATTTTTGCCTGATAATCGACAAAGAAAGGGGTTCCTGGAGGTGCCGGTGGTCCTGCTTCGGCCACCACGGCCGCCACTGGGGCCGTTGTTGGTGGATCGGTTTCGGTGGGGGCAGGGGTCATGACAACAATGGGCGCCGGTGTGACGGGAGCTGGAGTCTCTGCGGTGGTGGGAGAGGGCGTGGTGGGCGGCTCTGCGCAATCAGCGCTGGTGCCACCACCAAACCCAATGCCAAGGCCAAAGACACCGCCACCTTGACATGGCGAAGGAGCGGGAGTGGCTTGACTGGCAGCCGGTGGATCAAAGTTATAGCAAATTTCGTAGGCTCCGCGGCTCCAACGGAAATCGGTGTAGACCGAAGCCACCGGCAGATCCGTCACTTCGCCCGTGGGGGTTTCGCCAGCTGGCCCGAAATGGTTTTCGGCAGAGCAAGTGTATCGACCATTGAGGACTTCGTAAGTATTGTTGTCTCCACACTCAAAGAGATAGTCCGAAAAAGAAGTGAAGACTCCATTGACAGTATCCTCGCATTGGACACCCAATTGGACAAGGTGAGACACGTATTGGTCATCGACGGCACAGAGAGCTTTGGCAGAGGTGTACTCGACCATAGCCTCTGGGATGGCATCGGTGGCCTCGCATTGCTGGAGGAGAGAAGAGGAAAACCGGTCAGCCAACCCTCAGAAATCGAGAAACAAGCAACAACAACTTTAGGCCGAGACTTACGAAAATAGCGCCACTGAATTCGTTAACAAAGAAATTGGGGGTGGTATCGTTGCATTCCATGAGGCTGTCACTGATGATGGTGCAATTGACATCCGAAGCCAAGGTTTCCACCAACGAAATCCGCCCATTGGGACACGAAAGTCGTTTCATGGCGAAATCTCCTCCACAGACACTAGTGTCCAATTTGAGCTTCCAATTGGCCTGAAAGAGGGCCGAGTATTCCCCCGCTGCCGCGGGAGCAATGAGGTCGCTCTTGGGTGGTTCCTCGGGGACAGGCAGTGCTGTCAAATTTTGAATGCAATCGTAAAAATTGTGATGATCTGCTTCCACCACAAGGTCTGTAAAAGGCACTGCACAGGCAGCCCCTTCACAGTTGGTTCCATCCAAGCAAGTGTAGACACCTTCAATTTTGGCGGGGGCATTCCCCAAGCCACATTCAAAGTCCTTATCATCAAACACATAGGCACCAGCACCGTCGGAATCATCATAGCAGAAGACCCCCAGTTGAGCCACGTGGAAGTTGCGACTGTTGGTGGAACTGTCGGTGGAATCCTCACAGGCTCCAGGCTCACCACCGACATAGTTCATGTAGGCATCCACACCGGCAGGATCTTCTCCGACACACGAAAAGTAAATATCTGCGAATTGGCCTCTACCCACGCTGCCATCCTCCAGAAAGACGGAATCACAGGAGGGTTGGCCAATACCGCCACAGGCATTGGAACATCGCATCCCATCCCAATCGCCGACGGAAGTGCGGACGCACTGGATGGATCCGTCAGAGATGGACATGGGACGGAGGGTGCCATTGCAATACAGCTCAATGATGGGATTGGGTGCCGAACAGAGATCATCGGCGAGGAGTTGGTAGCGGGCAAAATAGGACGCTTGGTAACGGGGCTCCCCTTCGTCTTCAAGACGGCGGCGATCATCTTGGTGCAAGGGAATCAGGTCGGCAACGTCTCGCTGGATCGTCCCTGACCCTCGGGAAGATTCCACGGGGGATATCGCGTTGCTGGCGGTGTATAGAGGAGAAGGAAGGGCGGAAACGGTCACGGCCGCTGCCCCCATGGCCAAAATCGAACGAACGGCTGTCATGGTGGTGGTGGGAATAGTAGTGTGATTTGGGATTCTCAATATATCTTCTTTTGACAAGAGGTGTTGAATTTATGGCAACCCTTTTGGATTTTCGGCATTCTCAATCGCTGTTTTGTTTCAGTCGTTCACCTCGAGCCCCGAGCTGTCTTGGAAAACGTGTAAATGCTTTGTGTTCTTACTACATTTTTGTCCCACTAATGTCTGACAGGCTCGGTTGCTACCGAGGTGCGCGGTCATTCTACTCCCCCCAAATTGATACCTTTTTGTACTCTTTTACTATGATGACAAATTGAGCAGTCACACGATCGAGAATGCATTTAAATAGCTTGATATGGTGGTTGTGGAAGGCTTAACAATGTTGGCATTCGAGTAACTTCTTAGTAACTGAAGCAAATAAAAAAGAAACTACTTAGGGAATCCTGGGGGTGGGTCTGGGAGATTGTCTTTACAAGGTCAGCTGAACGTCAGCCCAATACTATACTGTACCATGACTACCATGACCTTGATTTGCTCTGGAATCTGAACCTGGGACTCCCTATATCCCCTAATTGACGTTCAAATTCATCCCCCCAAAATTGGCGAGGGAAAACTCCGTTAAACAAATCCAGACTTGGATTCATTTGGCAACCAGTGGGAGTCAGTTGCTGATCCGATCCATTTTTGCTCGAGCAACGAAAAATGTTCGGCAACCCATTCCGTGCCGAGCACGAGCTAGCGAAACTGGCCCAGGATGGAACCAAGGGGGATAGCGAGCACTTCCAACCGCGGTTGAGCTGGCAAAACTGCCGCGGGATTGACGCCTGCGCCAAGGAGTTGCTGCAGCAGCACTTTGAAGGATCAGACGAGGGGATACGTTACGAAGAAGCTCTTTGTGAGTGTGATGTGAGTGTGATGGGTAACGGGCTTCCAGCCGTCATGGCTGTATGTAGCGCTGGAAGACGCAACAGCCCCGACCACCTACTAGCTAGTAAGCAAACTAGAGTAGCTAGACTGCCGTCAAAATCTATCAATCAAACCGTATGGGGATCGTCATTGGGACTGTCGGAACAGTCATTGGGACTGTCGGAACGGCTGGCTGGCGGGAGGGCGGAAGAGCAAACGGAAGAGCTGCGCCAACCAAATTACCATGTAATCCAGTTGGATACCTGGCTGCTGAGGTACTCTGAGGGTGGATTGGATTCAAAGGGCCGGGCAATGGCAGTCTGCTCTCTTCGGCGGGGCTGATTACAACAAGCAATCATGCGAGGCAAAATGCTATGGCTACCAGCCCACTGAATCGATGAATCGAATCGATGCGTACTACGACCGGCAACAGTAGCGTGTGTCAAGTTACCACAACCGTGGCGTTGTGGTGTGCAACTGAAGCCTGCCTTTATGTTGCTCTACGATAGTTCTCTGCTATGGGTAGGCGGGACAACCTTCTGCCAACGAGGAGCAATCTCCCGTTGGCACTACCGTTAGGATCCTCATGAAGCGTGACGAGAAACGATCATATTATAAACATGTAGGATTTGTATCTACAAGTGGGAACTAGCACGCTACTAGTAGCTCAAACTATTTGGTTGTGGGGCGGTTTGAAGTCAGAGCAACTGATGCGATTGTCTTGGCGAGGTCGAAGGACAATGACAGAGTAGGCGGCTGAAACACCACAGCATCTCAAACTCTTCTTTTGTAAGCTTACTTGGATTTCAAAGAACTTGTTGAGAACTGGAACTAGCTCGGTGGTTCCAAACCAAGAAGGGCACCTCCGGATAAAAGACCAGCTAGCCAGCGTTCCATGTTCCAGGCCAGGCTTCTGGTGAAACTTCATTCAATTCCTTCAATTTCTCTTTCGCTTTCGTCTCTTTTGCGGCGGAGCTCCCGTTTTCTTGAGTGCCTGTATCATTTTCTTCTTGCGAGCACCCCGTCCCCCCAACCCCGATCCTGCTCGTCTGGATCCTTTGGGTTCGTACGGATTGTCGCTGGAACTCTTCTTGACGGCCAACCGGACCTCCATTCCAAACATGTGAAAGGTATCTTGAAAGTTGCGCGCCAAGTGCCGGATGTATTGCGGCGGCAAATGGCCGACATTGCAAAAGAGGAGAAAGGTCGGTGGACGTCCTTTGGTTTGGATAATGTATTTGATCTTGGTGGCACGCTGTGATGATGATTCGACCGGAGGTGGTGGATGGGAGACTATCACGTCGGCCAACCATCGGTTGAGCAATCCTGTCGAGACGGTACGTTCCCATCGTTCTCGTGCTTTAAAGACGACAGGCATGAGTTTTTGTACATTTTCTCCCGTGAGAGAACTCATGGGAACGACGGGAGTTTTCCGTAGCATGGGAAGTCGTCCTTCAATCTCGTCCGACACGGCACTGGCGTATTCTTCCGGTGTGTAACTGACTCCATCATCTTGACCGGCATCGACCACCAAGTCCATTTTATTGGCCGCCACCACCAATGCTCGTCCTTCTTTGACAACGGCATCGGCAATGGCCATTTCTTGTCGCTGCAAGTTTCCCGCTTGTGCATCCAATACCAAAACGGCGACATCCGCCATTTTCATGGCTCGATTGGCATCTTGTACGGACAAATCTTCAATCTGTGTGGATCGTTGCGTAATTTTGCGAATCCCAGCCGTATCGACCAATTGGACGGGCCGATCGTTCCATGCCCATTCGACCAGGATGGAATCTCGTGTCAGTCCCGGAGTGGATCCCGCAATGACTCGTTCCTGTTGCAGCAATGAATTGACCAGTGTGCTCTTGCCCACGTTGGGTCGCCCCAGAATGGCCAGTTGCAACGGCTTTTCCTTGCTTTCTAGTTGCATGGCTTGTTTGTTGTTGTTGTTATGGAGGATGTGATCATCATCATCATCATCATCTGTCGGAAGAGTAATGACATCTTGTCGTGTGTATCCCATGGTTTTTCGCTTTTTCTGGGACAATTCTTCAATGAGTGTAGCAATGTCCGCCATTCCTTCGCCATGTTCTGCCGAAATGGGGACTGCCTCTCCAAATCCCACTCGCATGGCTTCACTGAGATGATCCAAGACCGGACTGTTCTCATCATGCTGCCAGCGATCTCCTTCTAGTTTATTGGCGAGTACCATGACGTGTTGATTCTCTTTGTTCCATTGTCGTTGTTGTGGTTCTTTTGTTGAATTGTTGTCGTTGTGTTTGACTTTGCGCAGCCATCGTGCCGTTTCGGCCAAATCGGACGTGACCCCCACGCGGGCATCAAACATGAGTAGCACCAAATCGGCTGCTTTCGCTGCTTCCAGTGTTTGTTCAATCATGTGTCGATCCAACGACTTTTCTTCTTGTTTGTGGCGTTTCTTGAACAAGTGACCGATGCGTTCTCCATCGACTCCTGCCGTATCCACCAATCGAAAGACTGTGCCCCCCAATCGTCCATAACACTCGCGTCGATCACGGGTGGTGCCGGGAATGTCCGTCACAATGGCGCCTCCTCGCTGTCTCCTATTATTACCACGAGACGATCCAAGTCGACCCTGACTATTGACTTTGCGACGCCGATTCTTTTCCGATGTCAAGCGATACGCGCGGTTCAATTCTTTGCACAAGAATCGGTTGAACAATGTCGACTTGCCGGCATTGGGTGGTCCCAGAATGGACACTACCAAGAGGCCATCTTTGGCGCGTACGGCAATTTTGCCCGTCCCAAAGCATCGGACACCAGCAGGAGCATGCGTGAAATCTATTATCCGACTTGTCGTACAACAAACAGCTGGTTGTTCCCACCTTGGCCTTACTAGTGGTCTTCCCACTACTGGTGCTAGTCCATGTAGCAGCCGTCGACTTGCTTGGAGCATCTTTGATGCCTGATGCTTGATGTTTGATGCTTGATGTTTGATGTTTGGAGGCGAGCAGAGATTGGTTGGTCTCGAGGTGGGAGAAAGATCCGGATCCTTTTGAAAGCCTGCAGAGTTGCTTACAGCGAACCGTCAGAGGTGATCATCAAAAAATGAGACACCCTGACGTTGTTGGCCGTTGGTTGCCACAAAGATATCCATGTCATCGACCATCATTCTTCATCTTGATCGCTTCATTTATTTCATCATCTGAGAAAGCATACTAGTCTATAGGTTTTAAATAAGTACTCATCCTTCTTGCACCAACCAACCAACCAACCAAAACCAACACAACAATGAACAAACTTCCTCCAACGCAAATGGACCTTGTGTTGGTGGGTGGAGGCCATTCTCACGTGCACGTGTTGAAAATGTTGGGCATGCCCCACTACCGAACATGGGCCATGAGTCATGGCGTGCAAACGACCTTGATTGCGCGGGATTTGCACACTCCCTACTCGGGAATGTTGCCAGGATTTGTGGCCGGTCACTATACGTATGACGAGATTCATTTGGATCTGGTACAACTCTGTCGCTTTTCCAATACAAGATTGATTCATGCGGCGGCCAAAGAAATTACGTACAACCATGACAATGCTACTGATAGTAGCAGTGGAGGCATGGTATATTGTGACGATGGACGACCGCCCATTCGATTCGATGCACTCAGTATTGATGTGGGCATTACTCCTTCGACAGTCGGCATGACAGCGGCCACGGTCGACTCTATCATTCCCGTCAAGCCCATTGCCAATTTCTGTCGGTACTACCAAGACCTCCAAAATTCCTTGTTGGCCAAGTACAACCCACAAAAAAACTGCACCATTGTTGCTCCTTCTTCTCAACAACATAACAATAAGCATGTCATTGCCGTGATTGGTGGTGGTGCAGGAGGCGTCGAGTTGGCACTCAGTATGGACCATGCCTGTCGTCGGGGACTGGCCACGAATAGTCAAATCCACGTGGTCATTGTCACCCGTGGCACCAGTCTCTTGGCACAACACAATCGCACCGTGCAACGAATATTCCAACGAATACTACGAGAGAGAAGGATTGATGTCTATTATCAGGCTGAAGTTGTGGGAGTCGAGCCGATTGACAACAAGCAAAAGAAACTCGTGTTGTCGGAACACTCGCAACAATTCTACAACACTCCCATTCTAGTCCATGACATTTTGTGGTGCACTCAAGCATCGGCAGCCAGGTGGTTGTCCGAAGCAACACCCTTTTCTACCACATCACACGGGAACTTTATCCAGGTACACAGCACGTACGAATCCATCAGTCACAAGGGTGTCTTTGCCTGTGGCGATTGCGCCGAAATGGTCGAACATTTGCGACCCAAAGCCGGTGTCTTTGCCGTACGGGCGGGGCCACCCCTGTTGGAAAATCTCAAACGATACCTGTCCAATGAAACGCTCCGGCGACATGTTCCGCAACGAGACTTTCTCGGTATTATTTCCACTGGGGACAAGTACGGGGTGGCATCCAAAGGATGGTGGTTTGCTTTGGAAGGGCGATTTCTCTGGACTGTCAAGGATTACATTGATCGAACGTGGATGGACAAGTACACAAAACTACCCAACCTACAAGAGATGATGTCCAAAATGGCCCCAATCCACAATAACAACAACAACAATCCACGCAAACGACGGAAACTGCAACAGAATGTGGCTGCCATTAAAGGACAAGAAGTGGCAGACAACGTTTTGTTTGCTGCCGATCCCATGCGCTGTGGTGGATGCGGGGCCAAAGTGGGAACTACGACGGTTTCCAGAGTCTTGGCGGCAGTCCACAAACGACAAATCCAAAGAGCGGCTTCCAACAATCATCATCTACTACCGCCACCACCCATTGATCATGACGATGCCGCCATCATGCCTCTTCCACAAAAGGGAGGAGGTGCCATTGTGCAGACAATTGACTACTTTCGATCTCTGATCGATGATCCCTTCTCCTTTGGCAAGATTGTCGCCGTGCATGCCCTTAGTGATGTGCATGGGAAGGGCGGAAAAGGGGTGAACGGCAGTGATTTGATTGGCTAATCAACCTATGACATCAGCAAATGCGTCAGCAAATATTCAAATATACTTAACGTACCATTTATAGATATTACAGAGCAAACGTGCTACCTAGTCGCCAATTTCGTGTTTCTTCTTTCCGGAAAAGAGGATTCCTTTCCTCGATCGATCGACGATGGTCCTCTTCCGGTCATTACTCGCTCAGCGAAAAAAGCACAATGGAGCCACCAACAGCAACAGCAGAAGCCACAGCAGCAACACCACCAACCACTCACAATGGAGAAGAGATGGGCTGCCAGAGTCAGAATAGGAATCCACAGCAGAAGAGAGCATTCCAACTCGCGAACAACAACAACCCAAGATCGTCAAAGAGAGCGAGAGAAGAAGGAGCCCAAACAGCACTGCAAGGAGGGATAGCAGAAGTCTTTGATCCACTCAGACACTGTCAGGTCTGTAGGGCCAGACATTTTGGTCTCAGAGTCCCCAAGAGATCACACTCTGTCTTCTGTATTAAGAATACAATAACAAAAGGACAAGGACCTTTGAATGCGCTGACAATGGAGACAATCAAAGAAAGCAGGAGACTCACAAGGCAATTCAGTGCTCCCCTTCCACTGAATGAGAGAGGAAGCTGGAGGCATTCCACAAGAGAAAATGGAGAAGCTTTCTTTGCTCCCAGAACAAATACAGCCAAAGCCAAAGCCACAGCCACAGCCAAAGCAATTCAACAAAAGTACAAGGCAATGGCTACTCCAGCTGTGTTCTGCGAGAAAGTCACAGCTCTTGTAGAGGATGCCACCTTTGTGGAGAAACACAAGACCAAAATAGCACCACTGGCAATGATAGCAATGGCAGAAGCAGTGTCCGAATCCATTACCAGGTCAAAGAACCAGGACCTATTCCAGCAACACTTTGATGGACTCACCATGACAGTCCCATCCACAAAGGAGCAATTCGAGTCTCCTCACTACCACTCTATTGTTGGGCAGAAACTGCTTCTAGTGGACTGGAATCGATGTGGCATTACTGTACCTTGTCCCGATGGAAGATGCTCTGGCCAACTCAAGAATCATAGAACACAATGGTCCTGGAGTAAGACTCTCTTTCCAACTTGGCATTGCTCCTCCATCTTCCTCATATGTTCCCATGTCCTCTCTCAGCTCTGCAACGAAGATTTCTGCACAACCAAATTCTAGGACTGGTTCAACCCAGAGCCATGCTACCTTGCACCTAGTAAGCCAAAGTCATGCATTTTCCCACAGCTATCACTGGAGAGACGCAACAGAAGTTCACACTATAATGGTTACCTATGGAAATGGTGACATCTGCAGCCGCCTTCATCTACATCAATCAACAGAGAAGTTCATTACATTGATTCCTACCTATTCTTTTACTGCAAGCCCATCGAGATGACCTCCCTCCTTTCGTTCCAAATGATGGAACTTACATCAGAAAATATCCTCCTCTTGGTGAAACAATCCGTGACTTCTATGATAGGCTGCTGCATCCAACAGAAAACCATGGAGGATCAGTGACAACCCAGACAACAACAAGAGAATCCAAAGTTCAGCATGCAACAAGGTATCTCTGTCAGACCACACTTTCCAGCCAACCAAGAAACAAAAAAAGACACCGGAGACTGTCGTTGGATGCGCCACTGAAACGGAGAGTACTTCTGCAGCTGGTTCCCACAACCAAGAACTCCACTTCTCCCATGCTGCCATGCAGTAGCAAAAACCCAACTTCAATCCAGCTGCATTAAAGTGACACCTGGCCCAACAAGGATGACTACTGGGAGTTACTCTTTCCAGTATTGAGGGAAGACTTGCCTGTTTCATTATGAGAAAGGATCTGTCAACTATTGAGGAAGGGCCACATTGATCACTTCACAATGACAGACCTTTGACTGCCTATGATTACTTACCTGGATATGAAAAGTTCTCAAGCTCTGACATGGTCTACATGCTGATAAGCATTTCCATGGTGGAATCTCACACATGCATAGCCAACTTCTCGGGAGACTGACGAAACATCCAGAGGTCCGAGATCTAATTAGGAAGAAGATGAGAGACAAGAACAATGAGACAGACGAATTCAACGTTCCTGCAGGTTAGCAACTCACTGTTGAGGCGCAAACCAGCCAAGAGCGCTGATCCAGTCAGAACTTTAATCCTCTACTCCAGACACCAAACCAGACGACTAAACTGCATTTGAAAAGCCACCACTTGCGCTGATTCACTCAGAATGAAATTATGAACAACCAGCCACTCCAACTCCAAGCACAGCTCCAGAGTACCTGTCAAGGAAGAGAGGAGAATCCAAGTTAGAAGCTTTCCATGACAAGTTTGCCCACTTTGGCAATGGTGGAATGAGAAGAAGCCTTGCTGATGCACTCAATCTTGCTGGCACTGCTAGATACAACCTCAAGATTCGCCACAAGAGAGCCTTCCTGTCAAGAATCAGCGAGGCAGAAAGGAAGTCAATTCCAGCTGGATGGGAGAAGGTTGTTCCTTACTGGAACCATTCAGAGTTGGCTTACCTCAATGACATGGCAGAGGCTGTTGGTCTGGATGCACCATTTCCAAATGCAGAACCACTGCCAGAGGATAATGGAGAAAGATTCTTTTCAGAGTACATTGTTGGATTCAAACCTCACAGGCAGAAGTACTCACCAAATGATTGTTGCTTGTGTAGATTGTGCACCAGTCCAGTTGAAGCTTCACAACCACAACCGGTTCCACAACCTCAACCACAACAAGTTCCACAACCACCACCACAACCACAACCAGTTCCACAGCTCCAACCTCCACCACCCAATCCACCTCCACAAGCAGCTCCGCCTGTAGCACAAACAAGAAATTCTTACATTGGTAACCTGATTCTCTATCAGCAACAACACCAGATTCAAATGATGCAACTTGCCTTAATGCAGCAGCAATTCCAACCAATACTGCCATCTCCTTTCCAGCCACCTCCTCCACCGAATGGCTGCTGTCACAGATACTGCCAGTGGTTGACTAACAGGAGAGGAAGACCACCCCATGATGCCACCTGTCAAACTCGATTTAGTGGGTATGGGTAGCAACAAACAGTCAATATTTAGATAAGTCAAATTCATTTCTAATTTAGCCAGTAACTTACATCACGGTTCCACAATGTACAGCATTGTGTGGTTGCAAGAATCCAAGGCTGTCAAGGTCTTTAATGCAATCAACAACAAAACTCTGACTCATCGAAGTCAATATCTGGAAGGAAAATTTGTTGTTGTAGTCATACCAGTGGCAACAATACCCATGCCAAGCATCCATCACAATCTGTCCTTCATTGGAGTAAAAGTCATAGCTGCTATCCATAATCATTTCCCTCACTAACCAATAGATACACTCCATGAACATGTCCTTCCTTTCACATGGTTCTGGCCCCACCAGCATTCCAGAAAGGGTGGAGAGAACTTTATGGTACCATCTTGGACTTTTCTGAAGGCCCCAATAAAACATGTAATCCATGATGTTTGTCATGTCAGGAGGAAGAGGCTTGCATTCTCCTTGCATGATCAGATCCTCAAGAATGGAAACATGGTCAAAGTTCTTGGTGGGCACGCAGCTGTACTTCTCATTGCTGTTGATATCACAAATGACATACTTGCAGGTGAATCCATGCCTTGTTGCCCTTAGCTCATTGAATGGGTATCTCTTAACACTGAGCAGCCAATTCGAGAAGGAAGGAGTAGCAGATATCCTCATTGTGGAGTTGTGGAGGACGTCGGTCGGAAGAAGTGGCTCTTGGTTGTTGTTGTGGGTGTTAATGGACGACGTTCGACGTTCGATGGGTCGGTGGTGGAAGCTGGAGTGCAAGCCGAACAATGTTAGATAATGCAATAATAGTAGTAGTAGCTAGTAGCAGATAACAACAACAACAACAACAACAACAACAACAACAACAACAACAACAACAACAACATTGTCGACTTTCTTACCAGTACGGATTCACCAACAACTGTTGTTGGAGGGCGAAAATGGGAAGGTTTGGTTCGAGCCAAGGATTTCGAAAATGAGAAAAAGAGCCAGTCAGGTATCCGTTGTGTCTCAATTTGAATTTGGCATCAAGACATCAACGAACCTCTGGTGACGTGATTGCTGACATATTCATGTTCTTCAGACCCACGAGATTTAACCAACTGGGGCGATGACTGTGGTCTTTGCCATATCCCCTCATTCTTCTAAGTAATTCATGTCGGTTGACACGATCAGTTGGATGGCCATGCTCGCAAATTCGGGAATTCGGAATCCAACCGATAACCCTCTCCCTTTCCTTCTTCTTTTCCCTCCCCCGCGCTGGTGCCGAACCCCCCCATAATCTCTGCCATGGGTGCGACGGCACAATCGGCATTGGCTCTGGCGGTTGTGCCATTTGCTGCCGATGACGCCATTACAGAATCGCTGCTCATCCACTTGCTCAGTGGCATTAGCGACGTCATTCAAGACGAGGGAGTACAATTGGTGGGTGGCCACACGTGCGAGGGACTGGAACTCGCTTGTGGACTCAGTGTCCAGGGCTACACGGAGAATCCCAACAAGCTACTTCGCAAGCGGGGTGGTCGTGTTGGGGACAAGATTGTGTTGACAAAACCGCTCGGAACCGGTGCACTGTTTGCGGCCGACATGAGAGCGCAATGTCGAGGCGAGTACGTGGCTGAGGCTGTGAAATGCATGGTCCAGAGCAATGTGCAAGCAAGCAAATTGGCCATGGGCACACCTGGAATACGAGCCTGTACGGACTGCACTGGCTTTGGGTTGATGGGGCACTTGCTAGAAATGCTCATGGCCAACGAAGTTGCCAACAACAACCAACAGTCAGCCATTGGAGAGCATTGGCGCCGTCCTGAACATTCAAGACATGGCCTTTTTGAAGGGAGGCTTACAAGCTTCATCCAACGGTATCTTCTCCACGCTTCAGCCCCAGAATCAACGAAACCGCCGTGCAGTGATCAACCACGCAGATGCAGCCAAGGCGCACCCAGTCACCTATCCTTTGCTGTTTGATCCACAAACAGCTGGTGGTTTAATCTTCTTTGTCGACCCCAATTCTTGCAACGACTTTGTGGCCAAATTGCAAGAAACGTACGCTTCTGCAGCTGTCATTGGCGAGTTGGTCAAGTACCCTGAGAACGCCAGTGCCACGGCTGGAGGAGTGTGCCCTATTGGCAGTGGAGTGTCCACCGGGCAGAGAGTGAGAATTGCTCTGTAAGAAGCTGCTAGCTACCGGTAGCTAGAGACGGGCAGGCAGGAGATATCATGAACAAAACGATTGATGAATGGAATCAGACTCGTGGACCGTGGATCGGTGGTCGAGTGCAGTGGGGTTGCCTGGTGCCCGATTGAAAGATGACGAGAGACGACTTTCATCCAATTTCCCTACAACCTGACGTTTCGTTGAAATACATCAATCAACTACTCGGAGTAACGGATCATTGGTTTCTACTGAGTAGCTGAGGTTGTCGAGACGACTTACAGTCGCCAGCTTCCGAAGGTTCATAGTCGTGTTTTCACTGACCATCAGCTCTTCAGGACCAGGCAAGTAAGTCTTCAGGACGACAAGGTACTAGTACGAGGTGTCTGAGTCGAGTCTGCGCATCTATCTGCACTAGCTAGAATCTGATGCCATCTGCCAACTGCAGTCAACTGCCCAGAAAGTCTTATCAAGTGCTTTCCAGGAACTTCCAAACCAATGCAGCGAGGAAGGACATTGCTCCAAAAGAAGAGAAGAGCTCGAAAGGTGCCAACGAATACGGTACCCGTAGCTTTCTAGATAGCTACATGTAGTAGCTCTAGTGCTCCTAGTAGCAAGCTAGAGTTTTCTCCTTGCTCTTTCCTCCGTCCTTTTGGGAGGTGGGATTGATGGGAAGAGCTATGCGATTCTTCCTTTTCCAGACCACATGGCCACAATTTGACCATTGAGGGATACAAGCATCATAACTGAAACATCGGATTTTGGCAACGGTGAATGAAGAGCCTTTAGAAATTAGAAATGAGATCAGATTCTGTTACCCTCAGCTTGCAACTTGCAAACTTACTATTAAAATAGTACGGCTCACTGCTTACTCTCAAACAGGTAGTACTGTATCATTGCACACGACTGCTTACTGAAAGCCCGAAATCGCGATTTATTAATACGTGTAATTCTGCTTTATATTTGGGTTTCGATCTTATATTTGGGTTTCGATCTTATATTTAGGTTTCGATTTGATATTTTCGGTTTCGGCTTGATTTTACTAGTTACTTACCATGGTAATTTGGTTTTGGTTTTATATTTTGGTTTCGGATCAATATTTGGGTTTCAATTTTATATTTGGATTGGAATTGATCAATTTAGTTGGATTCTTAAAATCCTGATTTCGGGCCCTTTCATTCAGTACATCTACCTTTAGAAACCACCTTGAATGAATGATTCGATTCAATTACTCAATCTGCACAGTGCGCACTGCACACTCATTTCTTTCTTCAACAGAACATAAAATTTAATCAGATTGCGCATTGGGGATTGTCATGTCGGATTTGTCGCGGCAATCTGCAAAATAAATACTACTCTGCCACAATAAATGTACGTCAATTAGAGAATTACCGGTAGAGAGTACTAGTATGTTCCCTGATGTCCAAATGCTTAATTAAGATGGCAATTGCGATGCGGCTCGAGCTCTCGAGTTACAGTTCGCTGAGTTCGGTAGCTATATACATACATGTACACATCATGTACCGCTATTAGCTACCGGAGTAGAAGAGTTATTATAGTACATGTACCAGGCGGCGAGGATTCTGCAAGAATCCGAAATGAATGGACACTCAATCGACCATTGATGAGGTCATCAAAGCCTTCATTTAATAAGTAATTGTACGTGCAGAGATGACCGCACCTCAGCTCAGAGAACATGTAAATCTCAGTGCGTGTCCCCAAAAGGAATAGAGGGGTTTGTCGCTCGGTTTGTCAGTACTCTCAGTAGATAGATACTGTAATCCAAGCTCTTTAAAAATCTGTCTTTTATAATCTGCCACACAGTGTTCTTTCTTCGCCACAATCTCAAAATCAAAACCGATCTGCATGTACGCATTACGCATGTACACCTCGATGATGTCGTGTGAAGCGTGCTCAAGCGTTCATCTGCTCCGCATCTGTTGAGCCACAGCGTACGTACGCGATAGTGAATACTCCGCACTCCGCAGCACGAGCAATTATTTATTTGGCTTCAGATTTCCTCCTCTCCGTCTCTAGCTAGCTCTAGTATCGTACCGTAGTCTACATGTAGTAATACCAGGTATTAATAGTAGCTCAAAGCTCCGAGTTCCGACTACGCCAAAGGTACCGGTCGGTACCGCTACCGGTAGCACCCTATAATTCACAATGGTCAAATTAAATTACTCCTGGCCTATTACTTCAAGAGTACTTCAGTAGGTCTCCAGAAAAAGGAGATAGAGAGTAAAAGCCCCTGATGTCCAAATGAAAAATGAATGGTCAAATCCGTATCCAAGAGCGCACGGAACCAATGACTAAAGTCCCGTTCAGCAGTCACAGCTGCTTCGGCGGCACTTGCAGTCACTTTTTTCACCCTCAAACAGCTCACTTTTCTCCTCCCGAGCTCTCACTTTTTCTTCACGTCAAGCTCAGCCCCCGCCACTCCACCACACACCTAGCATCAAGCGACTTGCATATTCTTCCTCAGTACCACCACCAATCAAGCAGCAACAATGAGCGACACCAATGCTCCCACCCATCCCAAGACCATCAACATGGCGGGACCAACCGATGATGAAACCAGCTGGCACGAAGATGATGCTGTCCACGTTGAAGAGGGCAAGCAGGCAGAAGAGATTGCCAAGGAAGAGACAAAAGCCGTGGGCCGTATCCGCCTGCTGGCGTTTGGATTCTTGGTGTTGATTACCATTGGAGTGGCTCTGGCTGTGTACTACTTTGTGAGCCAAGCCGAACACCAGAGCTTTGAAGAGAGCTTTCAAGACAACTCGGAGAAGGTCCTCAAGTCAATTGGAGGTGTGTTTGATCTGACCCTGGGAGCCGTGGACTCCTTCACGGTGGACTTGGTGTCTTATGCTCATGATACCGGCAAAGTCTGGCCCCAAGTGGCGTTGCCTAACTTTGGCGTTCGTTCCAAGAAGCTCCGCAGTCTCTCCAAGGCGGTCCACCTAGGATTCTATCCTGTAGTCAAGACTGAGCAGCGAGCCGAGTACGAGAAATTCACCGCTGAAAACAATCAGTGGGTCAATGAGACCATTCGGACTCAAGACCAAGACGAAGAGTTCGAAGGAGACATTGTCTATGATTGGGAGCCCCTCAACTTTATCCATGGAGCTGAAGGACCCGTCCAGTACGATGGGCCCTATGTGCCTCAGTGGCAGACTGCTCCGGTCGTCCCCAAGTTCCCCTACTTTCCCTATAACTGGGATCTCATGTACCTCCCTTTCTCTCGTTTGGCAGTCGAAGAGGTAATCGCCTCTCAGTCCGTGGTGATCCAGAAGACATTCAATGTAGCAGATCCTAACGATGAAGCAGCAGTCGTACAGGACGAAATCTTTGCCTCCTGGGTCAAGGAGTTCCTTCCCAAAGGTAGTGAACAGCACAAGGAACCATCTATCCTTGTGTACTACCCCATTGTTGATACAGTTGCTGACTCTGTCAATGTGGCCAACCAGAAGCAGAACAACGAGGTTGTGGCACTCTTTGGCATGACTGTTTCGTGGAAGGACCTGCTCGTGGACATTCTGCCCCCCGGGGAAGACGGCATTGTTGTCACCTTTGACAACTGCGACCAGTCGTTTACATATCAGATCAATGGACCCAAGGCCCACTATATGGGGAGAGGTGACCTTCACGATGACAAGTACGAGCATCTCATTCGAACAGCAGAACTGGCAAACCTTCATGGCTACGATGAAGCGTCCTCGTACAGTGGATTCTCCCTTTCCACGAACTACTGCCCATACAACATCCGAGTATATCCATCCCAGGCCATGGAGGACAAGCACACTTCCTCAAATCCCATCATCTTCATGTTCATTGCCATTTTCATCTTTGCCTTCACATCGGCCCTCTTTCTGACATACGATGCCTTGGTAGAGAAACGACAAAAGAAGGTCATGACGACTGCGGTCCAATCGACCGAGATTGTTTCCTCCCTCTTCCCGTCCAATGTTCGTGACCGGCTCTACCCAACTAGTCAAGCAAAAGAACCAGCCATCAATGCTAGGGCATCCTCCTCTGCATTTAGTACCAAACGCATCCAAGATTTCATCAACACTTCGAACACCAGCGGCAGTGCCCCGGATCCATCAAATAAGACTCAATCCTCTCCCATAGCTGATTCGTTTACGGACTGCACTGTGCTATTTGCTGATATTTGTGGCTTCACAGCATGGAGCGCAAAGAGACAACCGGAGCAAGTCTTTGAGCTCCTTGAAACTTTGTACGGTGCCTTTGATTTGAGTGCGCAACGCCGTCGCGTATTCAAAATTGAAACTATTGGGGATTGCTATGGTCAGTTCTGGGCCTGGTGGTTGGCAGTAACAGCACACTCTTCGCAACGCTTGACTCACTCCGTGTTTTGTCTGTTTTGCTTCCTTCTTAAACCAGTCGCTATCACTGGATGCCCTGACCCAAACCCCAAGCATTGTGAGGTCATGTGTCGATTTGCTAGAGATTGCTTGACAAAGATGCACGTGCTCTTGACTGAACTTTCCCACAGCCTGGGAGAGGATACTGCAGCACTCAACTTCAGGGTTGGGCTTCACAGTGGAGCAGTGACCGCGGGAGTTTTGCGGGGCGCTAAAGCTCGTTTCCAGCTCTTTGGTGATACGGTCAACACTTGTGCTCGAATTGAAAGCTCAGGAGAAGCAGGACGCATTCACGCCAGTCAATCCACAGCGGATTGTTTGATCGCTGCTGGCCACGACAGTTGGCTTACCATGCGCGAAGACAAGGTCCATGCCAAAGGCAAAGGTGAAATGCAAACATGGTGGGTGACTCCCAAGTCTTCGCGTGCCTACACTGCCTCTACAGATGATGCCAGCAGCATCATTTTTGAAAACGATCATTCAGAAGTCTTTCCTCTTGACCCAAATGTGGACTGCTAACTGTCCAAGTTGGCGTATTTGAGTCTTTCAAAACCAGGCGAAGTACGGTAGTGCAACCAGAGTAGTAATCTTGTAATCTAGAACATATATTTTTATATATCACCAGTCAGATCAGAGACTAGACAAGTATGACTGGCGGCCTGTCGCATCGAAACTGGAATATGCAGGATATACCCAACTCTATGCCCAAACAAACCTTGACAGAGGATTTCGTTGCAATCGGCAGCAGGGTTGCTTGGTATCAACGTTGGTCCCGTGATGATGTGTTCTGAGAGGCTGCCTTCTTGAAGGGGCAATCCAGTGCAAAGCACCAGAGCGACAGTGAACTGGGATGCAACGCTCTTTGGTTGGTGGCTTAAAGAGCAACCTGATGCCAAAGATAGGCGGGGCTAAACAGCCTGACTTTTGCTTCAATAATCACCGTTTTGACTTCCCATGAAAGCACTTTTGGGCACAATTTGATGCGTTTGGGATCCAAGTCCCGATCTCGTTCCCCCGCTTTTGATGTCAGATGTGCCAACACTAGGTCCCAAAGTCCAGTGTTCGATTGTATCTTCTCAACGTAGGACGTGAACTGCTCGATAGACAGGTTGTTGGAGAGGATCTCGTCAGTCTCTCCCGGGAGAAGACTGTCTGGGTCTGGGCAGTCGACGACCCTTGCAACAAATTCGCGAAGCGCATCGTTGAAGCGAATGACAAGACGAACTCCCGAAGCCACTGCCCAGTTAGTCATCGCGTTCTTTTGGATCAGACCGATGGGGACATTGTCGTTGAGAGATGAGAGATCGATATTGTCCACAACGAAACTCTTGGGTGCCACTTCTCCCCAACGAGCGTGCCACGGAATCCCAATTCGAAGGGCAATCGCGAGGGTACACGCCGCGTGTGCATGTTCCTTTCCGATTTGTTTGGCAATGATTGTCGTTTCTTCGTAGGGATCTTGTGCAGCGACCATGAGGTTCGCGTCTCCTTGATCGGTTTTGTAGCAATTCACACACAGAGGATACGCACACTGACCGCAGCGCAGGTATCGACCACGAAACACACCTTCATGACATTTGTGGCATGATGCAAAACAAAGGCTCAACACCCGAACATTGCTCTCTTGTAACGCGTGATCTTGAGGACATCGCTTGGCTCGTCGAGGAGTCATCATGAGAGCCATCATACGGTCGCGTTCTTGTTCGTCTCCCATTTCCACCATGTCGAACAGGCGTTGCAGAGAAGGATCAACCGTCACAACGTTGCAAGTCAAGCGCCTGTCTGGAGCTGATGAAGCAAGAGTACCAAAGACGTGACTTCCAGTCGTCTTGTCCTTGAGGCGAATCTCTTGATGATGCAAGATCTTGAACCGCTCTCGCAAAAGAGTCTTCACATTGGTCACCGTTGCCATGGGATAGCAAATGAATGAAACCTTTGTTGCTGGCACACTGTCGGCTCGAGAGATCTCAATGGTGATACGCTTTGCGAAACCGCTCTGCAGCACCGCATGCAGAGCGCTCTCAAGGAGTTCCGCCGTCATCGTCGAGTTGAAGGAGCTCGCGTCGTTCATTGTCATTTATTTGTCGGAAGTTGCGAGAACGAGAAACTAACCGCCAACGAGTTCATCGGGGGAAGTTAAAATGGGGTAAACATTGTGTTGTTTACCGCAACCACCCAACTGTATTTGAGGTTGGGGCTGATCTCAATCGTGACAAAAAGATTTTGTTGAAATTGTATCAAAATCGATTATTTGGAAGATTATTGTTTTGGAAATTTGCATCTGATTTTCTTGTTCTGTCGTTCCTAAGTTTTTGATTTCAATATTAGCAAAATGTCAAATATCCACATACGTTTTCGGCCATGACAAGCTTCAGAAGTGATGGCCAAATTCTTCCGCCTTCATTTATTCTCTCCTGGATCCGAGCCCCATCATCGTGCTTGTCACCGAAAACGAATTCAATCAAAAGGATCCCATCATCATCATTGCTCTCTTGTAAGTCTTCCATCGACCGTCTGTTGGCCTTGAACGGAACACTCCAGTGTAGCTAGCCAAAGACAGCAACATGATTGACCCACCCGCATCCGCCGAGGAGGAGGAGGCTCCAGCCCGATGCTACAAGGACAATGACGATAGTAGTGGCGAGGATGAGAAGAAGAAGTACCCGGAAGAATTCTTTCAGCAATGGCTGGACAAGAACAAGAAGGAGCTGACCGACAAGGTTCCTACGATGGACCCTTCTCGTGCCAAATTCTTTCAAGCCGCTTGTCAGCACGTGCAAGACTGTCAGACGGACCTCGCCACGGCCACCAAGAAACGAGATGAAATTCAAAAGCACAAACCAGTCGACAAGGATGCTCTCGAGAAAGCCAACCAGGCGGTCGATGCGGCCGCCAAGGCATTGGCGCAATCCAAAGACGACGCTTTGAAACAGAGTATTCCACTCTTGGATGCCTGGGATTCACACACCATGGCGGATGACACGCACAAATTGCTGCTCGTGACTGACGTTCTTTTGCAAGCCACACCCAAGGGATTGGCCCAATATTGTGCGTCGGCCACGGACGATCAAGCCAAGGCGTTGGTACAACTCCTCCAAGATCCTCGGCAATATCCTCTCTTGGAGACCATGGTCTTGGCCGGAGGCGCCAAAAATGGAAAATACGGAGCCGCTCTCGAATTGTACAATGCGCTCGAACCACACATGATCCATCCCAAAGATCCCGTGCTCCAGCGTCTTCGATTGGCCGTGGCATTGGAATTGGCCGAACCCATTGGGGCATTTCATTTGGACGGCATCTATATCGATCCCATTCATCGCTATTGTCATTACCAAGATGCCTGGCGATTTGGAGCATTGGATCCGGTGTTTGGAACTGTATTTGGCGTATGGGAAATGCGCATGATTGTCGACAGTCTCGCTCCCGATGACCAATTGGCGTGGTGTCGAGAAATGATGCGCAATTATCGTCCCGATCACATGCTATTGGCCGACAAGTGGCGGTACTGTCGCATTGTCCGATCCGATGTCTTTTATACCGGCAGGCCCAATTGGGATCCCAATCGACCTTTGGATTTTCCACAAATTCTGTCAGGAGGTGGTGAGTAGTATTTAAAAAGAGACAGTGACGAAAATATTGGGGGTGTTGTGCTATCAAATGTGTTTGACTAACCTTTGTGCCAATCTTTGGATCGCTACAGGAGAATGCGGACCACGGGCTTGGATGGGTCGGTTTGCTTGCAAGGCATTTGGTATCCCCACTTGGGGCGTGAAAGAGCCAGGTATGTCATTCGCTTGTCGACTGGTACGGCTACCTAGTGGTTGCTAGCACCTATAACCTGTTTATCCATCTTATAATCTCTCATATGCCTTTTACAGGACACGCTGCCATGTCCCGTTGGACTGCCGATGAAGGATGGGTGGTCTGCTTGGGAGCCGCCATGAAAGTCGCCTGGTGGGACTCGGAGCATGGACTACACTTCCAGGTGGATGCTGCCGCACGCAAAGTCTTGGCGCCAAAAGATGATTTGGGAAAACCTAACGTAGCCTACGGTGTCAAGATCTTGGCCATGGAATGGATTGCTCATCTCAATGGGGAATCGCCTGGACAGGTCGTTCGCAATTGCATGCCAGATCCCAAGGCACTTTGGTTTTCTCTGTCCTTGATGCAACGAAAGCGCATTGCTCCGCCACCATCGGAGCTTGACGATGACGATGATATCGTCACCATCCACAACAACAACACCAAAAGTCAACCACCGATCCCACAGTTGGAACGACTTTTGTTGCGCAACCAGACCATTACCGAAGACATTGTGACTCTGGGCAACGGCACAGTCATCATCCCCGCGGCCAATACCAGCGATCCTACCAAGAATACCGGAAATGTCTTGTTCATGGATAGCTTCTTGGGAGGAAAGCAACTCTTTATTAAGGACAAGGATGGGCATGTCGAGTACACACTCACATCGCCGCCACCAGGAGGCAAGTATCAGCTGACTTGTCATTGTGTCAATGTGCACGACGACAAGGTCAAGCCACCCCTCCTCGTGACAATTGACGGCGGAGAAGATGGAGATGATCGCGGAGACGACGGAGTCATCTTGCCGCATGCGGATGACAAGCTGTGTTCCGTTTATTCCGTTGCTCTCCCATACACCAAGGGGATGTGGCAGGAAACTGCTCCCGTTGTGGTCGAGGTCCCCACGGGAGTGTCCACGTGTAAGATTGCCTTGTCGAGGGACGGTAGCACTGGTACCGCACGCGGATTGGTCCTCAAGGAGCTCAAGTTGGTCCCGTTGAAGAAGCTCGAGTGAGCGAGATAGTTACATCGGTTGATCTTCCCTGGTTGGGTTGGATTGGACGCTTCTACAATACATGTATTGCATGCTTTTACGATGACAGTCTTTCTACTAACACAAAATCCCTGTTGGTTTGGCCAACGGGCAACTTATCCCTTGAAAGATGGCTCTGCAGGGAGTCGAGTCAGTCAACAACATTCCCGTGACTTCTCTAATAACAAGACTTTCGACAAAAACTACATACGGTACATGTAGCGCAACTCACGTACCGGGTAAGACTGGCTAGCTACATGTAGCTCATTCGGAGACGACTGCATTTGAAATGTAGTATAAAAGTGGTTGCGCGTAGATCTGAATTCCTTCAAGAAACTTCAGCAACCGAATTGGAAAGCACACGTTTTCAATGTGCGGCAGATTAGTTGTAGCAGTACCGTACGCACAGCATGGACCGGTTCGGCAAGGTCAAAGATTGCTGCGAATTCAATCATTTCTCTCCCCCTAGTCGATGGTGGTTTCGTCTACTGGCTAGAGAAAAAGCCTTTAACATCGACGACCCAGCACAAATGGGCAAATCCTGAAAGCTCATGGTTTCCTTGTTTAAAAATTTGCAGCGTTTGGTCACCCATCCATTACTCCCACCATTCAAAGCCAATTTCATCCAGCATCGCTTTCCTCTCTGGTTCAAGTGAACCGTTTGCAAAACGTATCCTTTGGTAGTCTACCCACTTACCAAGAGGAGTTCCTATAGCAAGCTTCTTGGTGTAGCACTGCTTCAGCTCCTCATAGCTGTCCAGCCAAGATTTTTCATAAATCTCATCAAAGTCCCATGTAAATCCAACTTTGTCAAGTTTTTCTTTACGGTCTGGTCGCAAGGTGCCATTTTTGTTTCGTATCCGTTGATTGTGCACCCAAATGCCAAGCCCTTCATCTTCAGGATATCGATATGGCACACACGTATGACCATATTCTTCCTTGAATCTAACAACCTTGGCATATTGTGAATTCCACAAAGTTTCCTGTTCTGGTTTCTTCACCTCAACAAACCTTTTAAGCCTCCATTCAAAACCAATGGATTCCAGCATCTCTTGTCTGTCCCTCCTGAGTTTGTCAATAGTGTACAGACGGCGCTGAGTTCCGACCCATATACCCAGAGTGCCTTCCTTGTGAGGTACTCTGCAGTGTCCATGAGTTGCCTTGTATTCCTTCAGTGCCTCAAACATTGCCATCCACCGCCTCTCATGCTTGTCCATTTTGGCATCCGTCCACAAGAATCCAATCTCGTCCATCTGAGTGATCTGTTCCTGTGTCAACCTTCCCCGTTGTCTCCTTAAACATTGAATCCATAATGCTAGGTTTGGATATTCTTTTGACTGCGAGGGTATGTTGACTGTGCCATGGATCTCTTTATATTCCAGCAGCGCAGCAATATTCTGATCCCTAGTAGGATTGTTGACTGTGAGTGTGCTGAGGTTGACATCATTTTCCAGATGTAATATTCTGGTTTCTGCTGGTTGGCCGCATGTTCTGTTTATGGTGGTTGTTGTTGTTACTGTACCGGTTTCATGTTGCTCGTTGGACGATAAAAACAACAACGCAGCGGGCTTAGTCCAAAGCCTACTAGTAGTCGATGCATGTTCCAAGTGCCTGTGATATCGGGTCGGTTTTCGGATTCCGACGTCGGCAAAAGTAAAAGCCTTTGCACCATATTGATGCTCGTGCAATGGGGATATTAGGATGCAGAGGAACACTTCCAGGATAGAGACCATGATCTTCAAAATAATGAGGGGTTCAGAGATGATTAGGCCAGAGGTGATGGGCTGATTGGAACAAATACGTCAATACCAGCATACCAGCACATGTAGGTCATGTACGAGTATGTTGAGGTTACGATGGAGGGAACTATGGAAAGGGGGGCTAGATGGTTTTTAAGGAGCGAGGGGGGCTGAGTTTTGGCAGTGCGGGACATCTGTGGGGGAAAACCATGATTTCGGGCCCTTCTGTTTGGGCCTCTACATGTAATTCACCCCTCCCTGGTGTCCCCCCTTTAGAAAAGACAATCACAGAGCGAAAAGCAGCACAGATCGATCCAAGCCAGCGCATGTCACGTCACCACCGCAAAGCAATCCTTTACCATGGCTTCCACCTCCACTGATACCTCTGTTACTACTAATAGCTCAAAGTTCCTGGAGGGCTTCTGCTCGACAGAGGACTTTTTTCATCATTTTGTGCCCTACTTGACATACCAAGATGTAGGTCGATTGGAATCTGTGTCAAAACGACTCCAGACTCTGGCGCAAGAGTCCATGTGGAAGGTCGTGTGTCGGCGCGACTTTAATTTCCAGGAGGATGATCATGATATGATAGGACCGACCTACCATCAAGAACGTCGGAGCTTTGACCGTCTGGAAAAGGCATCCAATTGGAAATATTGTTATCATAAATGGTGGTTCTGGACCCAATGGACGGGCGGAAAAGCCAAACCTCATCACCTTCGCGAGGCCATTGCATTGTGGGCACGATGCAGGGCGGTGCTGACAGAACTTGGATTGCAAAATGTGGTTGATTCCTTGTGCCCTGGTTTGGATCGTCGAGAATTTAGTAGAATGTTCAGGGCTCGAAACTATCACAAGTGTCCATTGCCATCGTCATTGATTGCCTCCTATTCTGTTCGTGCTGGACAGCAGGAACTATCGCCACTGCGACCCCAAGTTCAAGATATCTTTTCCGGTCTCTTTGGCAGCTTTTCTTGCTATGATGACCTTTATTCGTTGAGGCTTGTGAATGTGAGAAGTTTTCAAAATCCTTTTTCCCGAGTCCGCCTCATGGGCGTTGCACCGATTATTCTCGGCATTAACTGTGTAACGGTGGGCAATAACCCACCTACATACCTCTTTCTGCGAACCACTCCAGAGGATCCAGAAGGTCAATTGGCCATTGCACACGATTATTTGAGCTATGGAGAAAAGACTGTAGTAGGACAGGGAGGTTTTTTGGCCTATTTACGCCAATATGTGGAACATCTGGAAGCTGGCATTTACAAACGAGTACAGTTCATTGACGAGGATCCATCCTCTCATGGGATTGGTCTATTTCCTGATGGAGGTCCCACAATGAGCTGTGCCATCACAAGAGGAATCGAAGTCAGGGCCAGTGCCCGCTGGTTCCCTGCTCGGCTACAAGATCAGCAAGGACAGGAGAGCCATTTTGGGTACAATATTCGAATTCGAATGGTAGATCCTGACCCAGAGTTTGACACGTGTCAACTAGTGAGTCAACACTTGCAGTTTATGGATGGCAATGGCAAAGTACAACGAGTTCATAGGGAAGCAGTGGATGGAAAGCAACCAGTTTTCTTTCAAGATGCCACTGCTGGTAGACCGGGCTATATCGACATGGGACCGGCTGGAGATGGTGATCGGTTTGAGGACAAGACATTTGTCTATCAAAGTGACACTGGACCTGTTGCCGGAACGTCATTGCAGGATACCAAACTGGCCAGTATCAAGGGCACATTTAGGTTTGTGCCAGGAACCATTTCCAACCCAAAGGGCCCCGAGTTTCATGTAGTTCTGGCATCTTTCCCATTGACTGTGCCGATGCCATTTTATTGAGTCGATGAAGTTTTAGTAGTATGGTACCTAACTATTAATAGTACCAACCACAGCACAACGACTAGCTTTCTAGCTGGTACATGTGGGCTGCCAGCTCACTCTCAGATGAACAACTTCAGATAGCAATATGCAGCTGCAGTGTAGTTCCTTCCATTTCCGCAGATTTGATTCAATCTACACGAACAACCATGGACCTGGCCATAGAATGAAACCTTTAGAGAAGCCTCGGAACGAGGGAGTCGAGTCTAGCTAGCTACTGCGGCACTCACAACCCACAGGCAGTCTGCCACCGGCACAATAACTGTTGTACACAGCACGGCAAAAACCAATGTGAAACCATCCGGATGATGAAGGGGTTCTCATGACTGACGTCAGTGAATGTGGCCCACAGAAACTCAAACACCTCGAAACAAAGAAGACGGGGGCATGGATAGGGAAATATCTACGGAAGTTTATGAATCTACCGTAGCTAGACTACCTGCAATGTTTTGTTAGCAAGAGATAGGAATCATGAAGCTACTTGTTTGTCTGCTGTTGGTCTTTCCAAGCTTATTTGCCTCGGTTGCTTTTGCCTGGACTTGTTGTTGCTGTTTGCCTCAGAGACGTCAAAACCCGCTGGCATCGGCAACATCCAGACTTGCGGTGACAGATCCATCCAGTTCGACAGAAAAATCCCTGCAAGAAGATGACCCTTCCATCATCATCCACAGATCCAAGTTTCTGGGAGATATTTACCGAATCCGTCTCGGAGACGATGACGACTTTCTAGGCGCCAATGCTGTCCCTACATTTGCCTCCAGGAAGAAGGAGACGAGTGAAGAAGAACACGCCAATAGATCGAGTTCTCATGATACTACTCTACAATCTCGCGGACTGGAAGGAGCCATTGCCCAAGGACCCGCCTTTGTACTAGACAATGTACTTTCCCAAGATGTCTGTGAAGAACTCATTGATACCTTTGAGAATCAACTAGGATTTGGCAACTATCAAGCGGGGAAAAACTTTCATGGCGCCCTGCAAATCGTGGTACCACCCGAAGTCACCCAACCGTTGGGTCAAGTACTCAGTCGTCATGTGGATATTCGTCAAGTCGAGGCACGACGGACGGAAATGTTGCAAGCTACCACTCACCATGGTAGTGACAATGATAATACCGAAACGCACGATGTACGCATCGTCTTTGCTGGATTGAATCGACGATGGAGGGTCTATCGATACGCACCAGGGGGCGAAGAAACCTTTGCGCCACACATTGATGCGGGGTTTCCACCTTCTGGATTGACCGAGGATGGAACCAATCTCATTTGGGACGATTCCGCGTCTTACATCGACGACGAAGAAAGTAGTTCCACCATTGAATCGGAAATTGTATCTCGATTGACAATCCTCATGTACTTGAATGAGGATTTTGTGGGAGGAGAAACCAAATTTTATGATCCACAACAATCCTCGTCTGTCATTGCCGCCGTCAAACCCGTCGCTGGTTCTTGTCTGGTCTTTCCACAGGGTGTGGGACCAGAGGCCGTCGACTATGCCCGACAGCATTGGCCCTTGCACGAAGGATCACCCGTACAGTCCGGGAACAGACCCAAATATGTCATTCGATCGGACATTCTCTTTAGTACCACCCGAGAACCTCTGCTACTCGACAATCCACTCTGGCGGAACGATCATTGGGTCCGCCATACATTTCTACCCACATCCCAATTGGTGGACGCCACCTTTTTGAGTCATGTCCAATCGCTCTACAATCCACACATGGGAGTGGAAAATATTGCATCGCTCCTTTACGGATGGATTCGATTCACCAAGAAGCAACGCATTTGCGAAATTGGTGCCGGATACACCACTCTGTGGATCTTGCAAGCTCTCAAAGACAATCAGGATGAAATGACACGGATACGACAACTAGAACAAGACGGGAAATGCACATTGTTGGATATCCCATGGACGGTTCCACCACCACCACTGGACGACAAAGAACAACCGTCGCTCTTGTGCATTGACAATTGCGCGCATCAAAAGGAAACTGCCACGGGGGCCGTTGCCGTCGCAAAGGCGCTAGGATTGGACCCCTACTTGCAATTCCTCAAGGGAGACGCCTTTGAAATGGGAGACTTATTAGAGGAGGCTTCCATCGACATGTTGTGGTGTGATTTTGGTGTAGGCAGTCGCATGAAAGAATTTCTCTCCCAAGGGGCTTGGGCAAGTTTGCGACCGGGTGGATTCCTCTTGTGCCATTCGACACTGACCAATCAACGGACCAGGGATTGGTTGGAAGCGGCCAGGGCACGGAAAGGAGAGGAAGTGACAGGTATTCCACCAGAAGAATACGTGGAGATATCGCTCTTGGAGCCCCACAAGAGGTATCAAAACAGCGTGTCCATCTTTCAGAAAAGAAAACAGGGAGAGGAAGCAGTCTACTCGGAACCAATCTTCTCCGAGTATGCATAGCTACATTGTTGCTCTTGTGTGCAACGCAAGATGGGCAAGATCTTCAACTCGAGCCGTGCCAGACGAATAGTACCTGGTACATGGCGACAACTGACGGAAAGTAAAGCGACAAGCTGCTTTTCCACGTGCCAATGAACTGGTACACTGTACCGGTATGTATAGATGGTATGCATACCGGTAGATGTAAGGCGGGGTTAGGTGATGAATGTTGTTGTGGCCGAGCCTGTCCCCCAAGCAAGAACTGCCGGAATCGACAATAGAAAGAAGGAAGCAAATGCATCGACACGACAGCAAGCAGCAAGGAGCTACCGACTACAAGAGTTGCAACGACTGTGTAAAGTTCAACGGGACCTAATTTAGTTAGATAATGTGTAAATGGCTTGAAGTAAGTTCTCCGCGCTGGGGTTGTACAACATGGACATAGAAAGCGAACGCGTCAGACCGATAGTTGGAAATGGGATCGTCGACTGTTCTTGGTGGTGTGTATTGTTGTTTGTTTGTATCGCAACGGAAAGTCTATTCGTCATCAAACTTCCTCTTTCCTTTCCTCCTCTCTTGGCTCCTCTCCTTTTTGCTCTGTTGTGTCAAGTATTGGTGGCTGGTCGCGCAATCTAAATCGTTTTCGTCTATCCAGCAAGCCATGTTGTGGCAAAGGGAGTAAAGAAGTTAGATGCATCCACACAGCAATCCGGTGGTTTCCTCCACTGGTTCTTCAATGGACATCTTGCTATCAGTTCGCTCGCTTCCTTCGCGAGAGTTTGCATGTTGAGGGTTCTTTTCGGGGGCTTCACCCTCAGCTTCTTCATTTCGGCCCTCGGGTTCGGCAGGTCCATCTTCCTCCTCCTTGTCATCGTCGTCATCCTCGTTTCGTGGGCTTCGTTCTTCTGCCACGGGTGTGGTGGGCTTGGCGATAGGACTCGGTTGTGGTTCCTCCTCTTCGTCGTCATCCTCGTCGTCTTGTTCCGAGTTGACAGTCTCTGGGACTACTGCGGGTTCGGTCTGTTGCTTGCTGGGTGAAGCAGGTTCGGCAGCCTCATCTTTCGGAGTTTCCTCCTCGACAGGCGCCGTGGGTGCTGTGGTTTCTTCGGGCTTGTCCTCGGGCTTGGGAGTCTCGACGGGAGTCTCGGGACGCTCTGCCACTTCGTCAATTCTCTCCGACTTTTCAAAGGGGAGCTTGAAGCCCTTCTTCCTTTCCTCGGTAGGACTCGTGATTTTTCGAGAGCTTCGTCGGAAGAAGCCGCGCTTGGAATCGTACTTGTCCTTGCTCTCGTAGGGAAGGAAGAAGCCTTTCTTCTCCTTCTTGTCTTTCTTCTTCTTCTCCTTGGGCTCCTTCGCGGGCTTGGGCTCCTTTGCAGGCTTTGTCACCTGAGTGGGTTCCTCGGCCGTTTGCTCCACAGCGTTTTTCTTGTTTCTTGAAAAGAGTCTGGTACCAAGCAAGGAAAAGAGAAAGAAAACGGACGTGTGAGAGGCATTCATTGTAGTTCGGAACGTTGATGTTGTGGACGAGGAGTCGAGTCCCCACTTACTTCATTGTTGATTTTCGTTTTATGAGAATATGGGATACAGCAGACAAGAGACCAACTCGGAATACCTTTTGGCTTGTTGTGAGATGGAGTTTCTTCCTGTGGGATGATGGACCAAATTTGATGAACCACCAAGAATGATCAGATTGTGCGCACCCTCTTCAAACTGAGCGAAAATGAAGTG